TGTATGTATGTATGTATGTATGTATGTATGTATGTATGTATGTATGTTATTATGTGTGTTATTATGTATGTTATTATGTATGTTCTGTTATGTTATGTGATGTAATTTGTTTATGTATGTTATATTATGTTATGTTATGTTATGTTATGTTATGTATATATGTATGTATGTATGTATGTATGTATTAATGTTATGTTATGTTATGTTATGCTATGTCATGTCATGTCATGTCATGTCATGTCATGTCATGTCATGTATGTATGTTATGTATGTTATGAAAGTTATGTATGTCATGTTTGGTATGTATGTATGTAGGTATGTAGGTATGTATGTATGGATGTATGTATGTATTTTTGTGTACCATTATATACCGATGCGTTTTGCACCAACGAATTTGCGCAACTCCAGAAAACAGGTGAAACACTTTTCTGGATGTCTTACACATCCTTGGTTCACAGCGAGGAATTACCACTTAGTGTGTGATGTTGGTGCCTACCATGATCAATCGGACGTGTGGAAGAACCAACCGACTAGATCTTCAGAGGGGTCACGTTGCGTTGCAGTTCTCGGATGCTCACACCACAATCAACTTCAGGTGGTGGTGTCCGATATGTTTATATATGTTCGGCCTTTATTTGGAATGATTGATTCCACTGGCTGTGAATTTGATAAGTCAAAGCAACCAGAACAATTTGGGGTGCAAACGCATCTCAGCTTGTGACCAGCCACGACCGCCTCGAGGCAACACGGCCATTGAGAGTGCCAGTGCCGACAAGGACGTCGCGACCTTGAAGCAAGTCCAGGCCAAACAGAAGCAGGCGAGTATCCCAGCGCCGTTGTTGGATGACTAAGAGAAAGTGCAATCCGAAACGTCATGGGACTGACATATTGATCATATTGGTGCTACAATTAAGGGTGGTTGAAAAAGGGGTCAATATATTCCAAGGACCATGCGACAGGGCTTGATTGGACATCGCTTGAAGAACCCAGGTTGGTCTCCAACAGAGCTTCAGCTTGAGCCACCCGGCCAACTGGCGATGGAAGTGAAGCACGGATCCGCCTGAACGAGTTGCGCCGGGGTACGAAGTCCGAAACCTTCCTTGAGCGCTTTTGAAGGAGCTGTGCCAGAAGACCTCTTCAGTAAACACAGGCCATGCCTTCCTGAGCGGACTTTTGTTTTCTGTGAAGACGCCGAATCGACGAAGTCGCCCTCCCGACGTGTCCCGCATCAGAGGCTTTCGAAAGGCCACGCAGGATGGAAGGCCATGAAGTCCCCGCGTTTGGCGGTGGAGGAGCCATGCATTGGCGACTTCGATGAGGGGCCGTGGATTGCATCCTTGGGGACAAGAGCTGCTTCTGGCCTTTCACCAGCTCACCAGTTGGGGGCCGTTGGACATTCGACGTTCCAGTGCGGAAGTGCATGTTCTTACCTAAGCCTCACCAGGACAAAGGACACTTGGCGCGGGCCGATGCACAGCCCATTTACTGCAGCCTGGCGGCCATTGTCAGAGCTTCACAGCCGCTGAAACCTCGATCTGACAAGCTGACTGAGCACGTGTGGGAAGGTCGAAGTGAGTGATGCTCAGGTTTCTGCCGTTTAGCCCTCCCAATATCCAGGGAGATGTTGGCTCTATGAAATATTGTTTTGTCCCTATGATTCGCTTTTCCTTGACCCATTTTGACAGGGGTTGTGGACGTGGACACAAAGAGTATGCAACCTGGAATGCTATTAATTATGTTAGTTATATATAGAAGAACACTTGGCGATGTTCAGGAGACACACGAACACGCAATTAATTATACGAATTATATATATAATCCCCTGCCGAATAAACTCTATAGAATCTGAGAGCTTGAGCTCAAAACGATTCTCATGTTTTATAAACAATTTTCTTATAGAATGGAATGTCAACCTACCTTAAAGAGACACAATATTTGAAACATGTGGTCCAAAAAAGTCAGTTCAGTTTGTTCTCGCAAAATGGGTGCCGACATTTCATTCTATAGAGAGGGCACGCCATGTCACCAGATTTTAACGTTTGATTGTATAGAAAGCATTTGGAGTAGTACTGTAGAAGGTTCAGAATTGATTTCAGATTGGGTGGTGCGTTGTGAGGTCAACTTCAATTAAAGGCAGGAAATGAAGGAATTGGACCAGCAAACTATATGACATTATATAGTTTTTTTCTTTTTTACGGGAATAGTGAAACATATGTTTTCCTAAAATCACTGAATCTCCCATTTTTAGATACTTTAGTGGTCCAATTCATCATTTCCTGTCTTTCCTTGATGACTAAAGAGTTTTGAGGACATGACTAAAGTAGTGTTGGGGTTCTAGATGTTAATTGCCCAATCACCCCTTTATAAAGTTATTTTTTACACATGGGCAAACATGTGTATCCAAACAAGTCTCTGTAAAATCAAAACCCACCTTTTGGTCCACATTTGTCCTGTGTTTTCTCAAATCAATCTCAACCTTCATATTTTCCCACACTTCTCTTTAGAATCAATACAAACATTGGCTATGCATCATAGGTTTTTCCCATTTGTTGCTATCAATTTTTCATGATGATGAACACCCATACCCTGAGGCACCTCATTCTTTGAGAACATGCTTCCGGCACTGCAGGAGGTTGATACGCGATTCTATAGTGGTGCAAACTGCCCTCGGAGCCTGCTTTTCGTTCTAGCACTTTCAAATCACGTCCTAAGGTACACCGGCAATTCCACAGCCAATTATATATAGATACATATGACTATACAACGTAGACTGCATACACAATACATGCACCTATTTACATACAAGTATGCACATGATATCATATGATTATAGAAACCTGGATATCCATTCCTATAGCAGAGTTGAGTTTATAGTGTGTGTGCCCAGTCTCGTTTTAGTCAAGTGGGTGATGCTTGTAGAATCGTTCTCAACCTGGATTTTCATTTCAGAGTGGCAATGTGTTGTCCCTTAGATGGGTTCTGGCTTTCCATTCACTGCAAACATAAATTTGACCCATGCCTGTTCAATTGTAACACCTGGATTTCCATTTTCATAGGGATGTTTTAAGACGATAGAATTCATGGCCAACAATTTTCCATGCCCCAAGGATCCCTCCAGTGGTTGCATCAAGAAAAATGATGTCCTGAGAGCCTGAGAGCTACCTAGGCCGCCTGTTTTGGGAGCAACAAAAATGAGTTTACTTATCAAACAGCAGTCAAATGGGTTCTATAGGCTATATTGAAAGGTGTATTTATATATATATATATATACACAACATATACACTTTGACTTGCTTGTGAACGCTTTGTGAAACAGATGTGGGTGCTTTTATGCCACTGGGTTTGGTGCTGCCGACACGATGGGTTGCTTCGAAAAGGCCATACCCTCCCTAGGAGACTGTGCTCGACCCCTCGGCCAAAAACCATTGGCCTAGTAGCGGCGGCGGTAGCAGCAGTAGACAGAGCAGTAGCCGCACCGACCTGGAGGCCACACAACCAGGTCTGGCAAGTTGCTCGCATCAAATAGGCTGTCGGTGAACGCACTGGTGTGAACACCCTTTCCGAGGTCGAGCGCTGGTCTTTGAGGTGTCGTTTCCAAGAGTTTTAGACAATTTGTTGCTTTGCTTTTCTCAATGCGCTTTGACGGCCAGGAAAAGAGAAAACGTAGAGTTCTTGATCGTTGAAGTTAGATGGCCATGCATTGCTGCTGCTCATGAAACTCACCTGGAGGGTGCTTTGTTAGTCGGTCAGGTTGGTTGCTTCAAACGCTGGGCTGGGTGCCCGTGCCTTTTTCGACCCAACGCCTTTCTCTCGGGAGTCCTCCACCTTGATTCCCCTCCAACACGGTCGGGCGGCGGCCCGCAGACCGGCACTCCAGGTGGAAGCACTCCAACAGATCTTTCAAGAGATCGATCGCGACCAGGAGAACGAAGTCAGCTTCGAGGCGACCGATGACGGGACGTTTTCCGTGAGAGACTCTGGACAAGGGCGATGATTAGGCGTTGCTACGGTGGGAGAGGCTTTTGGGGGAGTCAAGAAGGGAAAACCACAAACGCAACCCTTTGCACAAGACTGGGTATAGGACTTGCACAACTTGAACCCCCCCAAAGATATATAAATCTGCCCAAATCTCCTCCCACTCTTAGTGGCGGTGCATGCGTTGCTAGTAGCAAGAAGCTGGCGTTCCAACAGAATGCCCCCCCCCGGGGGTCGCCGAGGATGTGAAGACCGCCATCGCCAGCGGCGAGCTGGCGGATTTCTTGGAGTCGATCGGCCGCTTGGAAGCGAACCTCTCCGGACCATGGCAATTTACGGTATAACCTAACCCTAGGGCCCTAGGGGCTCCAGTCGTACCTTAAGAGAAGGTGGGACTGGGGTGGGTGCCAGGAGGGTCCCAACACCTTCTGAGGAGGTACCCTAGGGTAATGCAAAAGGTAGAATCTTAATTCAAGAAGCAATTTGGATTGTAAGACCTTTTCATGTTTGGCTTTTTATTCAAGAGTCATAATTCTTGCATTGGCCAATCACCAGGACCTTCATAATGACCATACTTGACCCCAGTTTGTTTGATCCATCAATTTGGGGAAAGTTCAGCACCCAAGAACTGCTTAAAAAGATCTCCAGTTCGATGTGTTTTTCTCCTTCACCAGGTTTTGAAGTCCTCAGAGGGTGGACAAGTCCATTTTTGTCCCCTAAGAATCACGTAAGAAATGGCTGGAGGTTGACTCATGTCAATCAGGTTCCTGAACCACACACATCTACATAATATGAACTGGGATCAACGTTGCAACGTCGTTCCAACCCACCGACCGCCGTTTTGGTCTCCAACCCACCAACCCGATCGGCCCGATCGGCTTTCCCTTTGTCAGACCGCGAGTCGGCACAAGACCAATAGTCCAATGAAGGTTTGAAGACCAACGGTGGTGCCAAGATCGGTTGAGATGGTCGACGTTCTGTACCTTCCGAGAAAGTACCTTGCATATAACTTATCCCTGTTCCTAGCCTAAGGGCATTCACGGGAATTTGGGTGCTTGGAATCCTGGTTCCGGTCGTGCTGCGGCCGGCACCGCCTCAGGTATTTCCACGAACGACGTTTGGACCGGTGGACGGTTGGGGTGGGCACAGTGCCTCCGGACTTCTCGTACCTTGAGTCCTTCGGACACGACCTTTAAAAGGTACGAGCGGGACGCGACCTGCGGGGTGGGTGTTTTTCCCGTGTTTTGTGTGTGTGATGGTTTTTTAAACAATGTTTTTGGGGACCTTTTTCGGTAAAAACATGGTCCTGGGTACGGCGGAAGTCTCCCATGCGAAACAAACCAGACATGCAATGACGACCGCGAGTTGAGGGGTTGAGATGAGAGGTTGAGAGCGCTTTGTCTTCTGCAGAATATTGGAGTGGTGTCTAGTCATTCCATCCAATGCTAGAAATTGGATCCAACCCCACCTCGGTGGCCCTCGCCATCCCTCGCTACCGATCAGGATGATTGCTACATTCAGCCTTTGTTTTGGCATGTTTGGGCCACTTGAGCTGGGGAACCATCGGCGTCATTGGTGGAACTAGAGCCGCTGGACCTGGTAGAAGCGACTTCACCCATAGCTTTCAAAGCACGTGCATACATAAATAAGGCGTAAACCCACCATAAAATTGTAATCAGACTTCTTTCTCATATTCTTCCGAGAATCTCGCATCTGTGCTACTCGGAGGAAGAGGGATTGCATGGGATTTTGGTGTGACCAGATTTGCATAGCATTGGGTGTTGAATGTTGTTGGTTTCAGTGGCTGTTTTCCCCTTTGTTTTCCTTAATGTTCATTCTTGGCCTTGTTCCTGTTCTTGTTCGTCAATGCTACATCCAACACGGAGAAAGTCCAGTGCTTCCGATCCACGGATCTCTGGTTCTTTCCTGGCTCTCCTCTCCTGGCCGTCGCATCACGCGGGGAGCTACGCCGACAGGACTCTCTTCATGCTTTTAGACTCGGACCGGAAGGGCTCGATTGACCTCGACGAGCTGCCCGGGAGGAAGATCGGACCGACCTGCTGGGAGGACTGGGTGTTGCGGTCTGTGGAGTGGTGCTGGGACTCTTAGGGAAACACCAGGACTCTTAGGGAAACACCAGGTTTAACCTTCAAGGATATGACATGGTTTAGGACTCTTAGGACTGGTTTAGGATTCCTGTCAAATCCTTGATAAGGCTTACATATTAGTAACCTTCAACTGGGGTTAGCGGAAGTTTTGGTCGCAGGTGCGCTATTGTCAAGTGGCAGTGTGTTACAATGCACTCCGCAACCGAGTTGGGAGCCCATGTAGTGGCGAAGGCTGGTGTTTCAGGTGCTTTGTGTTCCTACTTTTGGTACATGGTTTGTCCACCATTTACACTCTGAGCCACCAACATGAAAGATGAAAGTAGAAAATCGACCTTCAAGACCGTGTTGCTCTACAAACCAAGGCGGTTTTTCCACGTCCATGAGAGTGAGTGGGAGAGTGGCGGATGTCCAGTTGAGGTTCGTCTCGGGCTGCATGCAGCTGCATGGCCCGGCCAAGAGCTTGCAGATGGCGAAGATGAGCTATGAGAACAAGCCTCTTGGGATGAGAAGGTGGTGCACTCTGACGATGGCATCACATGGAAGTGGATGCGGCATAGGCACAAGACGACGTTCCGAAGCAGCGAAGCCGGGTGGGCCATCCACCTCCATGTCATGTGAGTGGCAGCATTTGCTTCGGCCAGCCAGCATGGTCCAGTGGTCCCGTCTTCACGGAAGCACGGACGCACCTGGTGTTCCTCCGTTCGGTGTTCCTCCGTTCCGATCCGACGGATTTCTGGAGACCAATCCAGTCACGGAGCTCGGGGGGTGCGATCCACGGAGGAAGTCGTGGTGCCCATCATCCACTCACGTAAGGGGATGAGCCACACCACCCCGTCTTGTGACTCCTGGAATATATTTATTGAATATATAATTCCATCTATACTTGGAACCTGAAGTGAACCCATCTTTTGGGAGGAGCAATTAACTATCCCATATAATAAGTGTTTATACTCCTGGTGTTGCATGTATTTCAGGGACCTCCGTGCCGTTGTCCCGCGCGGGCGATAGACAGGGGCCAGGGCGATCGACTGGGCCGCTAGGGAGCTGGTGGATCGGTGAAGACCACTGGAAGAGAAGTACAGGGAAGCTGAAGACCACTGGTTGGTTTAGAGGAATATCGTCGTTCAACATCTTTCAAAGGTCCATTTTCAGGTTCCGGACCTGGGTCTCTTCCCCGGGTGGATAGAAATAGATAGATATCACCTTTAAGCCAGAGTGAAGGAAGACCAGGTGGAGCAGGACCCAACAAACATCTTCCCCAGGACCCGTTTGAACCGCATATGGGGTTGAATGCTGGACCTGTCCGTATGTGATGAATGGACCTGTCCGTATGTGATGAATGGACCTAACCTTTTGTCAACCCCTTTGGGGAGACGAACGAACTGGTTAGAGGAAAACCCACCCTCCAAACCGGACCGGACTCTGATTCGGCCAGCGGCGAGGCCGAATGAGGTCGACGAAATTGGTTTCTGATTTCTGATGCCTCATGAGAACTCTTTGTGCGCGTGGAGACACCAAGTTTCTATAGAATCTCGGTGTCCCAAAACGTCAAATCTCACTTACCCTCAGTCTTTTAAAGAGCATCTAAGTCCATTTTCATCTAAACATGGCCATCTCCAACCCGCTCCAAAAGCGGGCACCCGAGGCTCACGCGGCAAGCCATCAAGTCACTGAGCCAGGCACTCTTCGGAAGCCAAAGCCAAAACGAGCCCTGGAAATGGACATGTCTCAGAATTGGTTCAAGGGAACCTCCACAAGAAACTCATGGAAACTCTATGGTTGGAAAGTGCAACAGCGTGGTTAGATGTTCGATGTTCCCTTAAACAATTCCGTTTTGGTTTCTGATGGTTTCTGGAAGTTCCACGGTTCTCAGTTTTGGATTCTTCAGCTGATTTCAGCTTGCGCAGTGGTGAGGAAGCGTTATTTGTTTATATGTTTTTTGGGGGGTCAAGTGGGGCGTGTTTAATGTTTAGTGATTCTTTGAACTGCCATGGTTGATCATTATAGAAAAATGTTGTCCAGAATAAAGTTACTTAAAGCGGATTGAACTGAATTATATATTTATAGCCAACTTGGATCTGGAACACGGGGGGCCAGATCGGATGAGAACACTTTGCTGGATGCCTGTCCTTGCAGCATTGACACAGAAGGGCCGCTTTCAGATGCTTTCAGTCCAAACATGCCCAAACCCTCCTCGGTGGAGCATGCAGGACATTTACAACCTGAACAAGAAGCTCACCACGTCCACGTCCTTCAAGGAGCAAAGCACTTGGTTGCAATGCTTGTGTCCATGACTTGCTGGTTTCAATCGGTGAATCAGCACACAAGACCCTGAGAAACATATGCAGGAGATGAATTTCATATCGTTTCTTGCTAGTTGTTGATCCACTGTGAAGAACGGATCTCATGTTTGTCCTGTCAAGCATGTTGAAGACACTGGTATGATATCGACGACAAAGTTTATGTGAAACAAATATGCAAACAAACTGCTGATAGAGAGAAGTCAATTTTGCTTGGACATTTAAATGTAGATGCCATATGATGCCATAATCATACTTTCCATGAGTTAACTATAGATGTGGCCCACGTCTGTATCAATAGATCAAACCTGATCCACCGTGTACCGTATACAGTTGGCATCGTCTTTTTGTTTCTGTTTGAGTCATCGGGCCGCGTCCGTTGCAGGAGCCAATGCTTCCAGCGATCAAGGAGCAGTTCTGATTCAGATGTTTCGCGGATGTTTGGAGGTGAGCACGGCCTAAGGAACCCTTGGCCCAATGAATTATATATATATATTGGTTGATTTCCCGGCCCTTTTTTTGGATCCTTTTGGGGGGGTCCTATTTCTACCCTAGGGCTCCAGTCGTACCTCCTCAAAAGGTATGACTGGACCCTCTAAACCCACCCCAAACACCTTCTTAGAAGGTACTTGGAGCCCTAGGGATACACACTCTTTCATGCCATTGGAATGGGTCGTGGAGGGAAGTCACTCCGCAGGTCGTGGAGTTGGGTGAATTCGATACCCAAAGCAGTACACCCAGGGCCAAGCAGGTCCAGTCCTTCACCTCATTTGGGTGCGTTTCTTATATGATCAAGGTTGGATGGTTGACCTGCAGGGATGATGGGGGTATGCTGACCCGGGTCATTTGGAGTTCTCAAAGTTCACCTCCAGAACCTCATCTGAAAGGTTTTTGGACTCTCCAAAGCTGGACAATGGGCATGAAGACCCAGCATATCCCTGCATTGATGGTGTGATGTCACCATTGATGGTGTGGGGGTTCCAGTACGGACGCTGCAGACTAAGGCTGGCTTGGGCTTTGCATTAGAGCTCTTTTGATCCACTGGCCCGGGCCCGGGTGCCGTTTTCGTGGCTGGTGCCGCGACTCGCCATACGACGACGACAGCGGAGAGACTCAACCTCACTGCGAACACCATCGGTGGCCGAACCTCACGGCGAGAAAGATCCCCACGGCGAGAAACAGGGATGAGAAAAGGCAACAAAGAGGTGCATGATTGCTTATGACTAAAAGGCAACCAAAGCAACAAGAACAGCATCCCAACTGCATAACTGCGTTTTCGTTCCTTATTGCTTTCTGGCCTGTATGCTGGTTGAACTCTGAAAGCGCTGTCGTCCACTGCTTTTGGGTGCTGCATCGCTTTCTCCGCATTTTCTGAGCTGGCGTCCGAAGTGGACAGGATGGACACTGAAGCAGGAGAGGCAGAATGAGGTGCACGGTTTTGAATGTTTGCACTGCCTTTTTTACAGATGAACTTGAACATTCTTGAACTCCCCCAAAGCCACGGACGCCCCGAGGGAATTCAACCCATCTTCCAAAGGTTGGCTTTGGGGTTTGCTTTCAGTGGAACATCCCCCAGTGGAACATCCCCCAGATGAATGGGGCTACTCAGTGCCAAAAGTTAACATCGAGTCGACTGCTGATCTCTGTTTCGGAGATTGGCAAAAACCAAGGGCTGGCATGACCCGAAGCTGGTTTACGTCGAGAGCGGCCCGTGTCATGTGAGCAACCACTTTTATTCAGGCTTTACTAAAGCAGTCTACGGCATGCTGTATTTTCTTGTCTATCATCAGTATTCGCTTGTGAACAAGATAGGGTCCCCACATAAACATACATAAACGAGATACTCTTGCTTGATGACACAAAAGTAGTCTGAACGAGATGCTGTAGGGCCCCCATATAGATAGTGTATTTGAGCTTAGTACCAAATAAATGCCACCGTAATGAGCCCCCCAACTCAAATTGAGAAACCTCTTCATATGGGGGTGGTTGATGAATCAAGAGTCTACATTACCCTCTGAAAGCCAACTCTCTCAGACTCGTCGTACCGAAAGGTAACCTTTCGGCATGTGATCCACAGGGGCACAAAGCACATGTGTTGCCAGATCAAAAGGGTCTGTCTCACTACCAGTCGCTAAACAAACAAATCACACTTTTTTAGAACAAGGCCTGCAACCTAGCCATCATCCACTGTCACTGGTAATAGGATAGACCCTTTTTTTCATACATTATCACCTTGTTTTTGAGAAAGGCCTCTACCAATTACTAACCTTCAACATCCACTGCTGTTACTGGTATGTTTGGAAGTGTGACCCACTTCTTCACTAAGATGCAGAACTCGTGGACAAAATACTGCCTGGAAGCATGGGATATATCAAGTAGATCCCCAACCGATAGCGTCAGATCCACTTTTGACTCAGAACGTGTGTGGCACACCATCGCTGATCTCAAAGAGATATCCAGCGGTGACGAAGGATCATATCTTCGAAGGAGGATAAACGACGCGGTGACGCCATCCGATCAACAAAAGGCGTGATTAGCAAGGTGTTGATGTTGTATGTACTCCCCAAAGTGCCCTACTTAGCTTGAACTGCTTCAGTTATGCAAGACCATCCAACCATGCACAATGGACTTATATATCACAGGTAATCACTAGTACTTCTATAGGTTAGCATGATGTTATATGGTTATATAATATACTGTAACTACTTGGCGCTGATCGGCTGTTGATTGCTGGTCGATCAGGCGCTCGATCGGATCCCACGGACTGGCGAGTCTCCAGCCCCCCCGTGTAGGTCGGTGCACGCCGTCGTTCGGGTGTGTCGTCCAACATCAGATGCCGAGAGGGGTCGCATGAGGTCACGGAGCGAGCGCCCTTTTCCTGGCGTCCGGCGGCGTCAGGTTGCTTGATGCGCCCTTTTTGCTGGCCATTTCAGCGGTTAGCGGTTTGCTCGTCGTCACCCCGGTTCGCTTCTCCATGGCGCCAAAGGTCACCTCCTTCCAAGAAGGCCAGGAGGGGTTGAGCCAAAAAAGAGGAGTGCCCTGGTACGGACTTCATATAGTCACATCCGAGGATGGCTATACGTTGTTGATCCTGACTCGGACGTTGTTGATAACATGTTGATGTGTTTTTCTTTTTTGTTTTTGCGAGCTGATCGTGCACAGCTATCGCCAATGGAACGTCCAGTTTCCGGAATGCGGCAGTCCCCTTCCAACTTAAATATCCCACATTACATCAGGTATCAAATGACCATGAGGATCAGTAGGGTTCATGTTGGTTTGACGTGGACCATTTCCTTTGATCTTTCGGGTTTCGCCTAACCCGTCGCACACGTGCGACTCCACACGTTTTGACAGGCACGTCGGACCGTCCTTGTTACCAGGCAAGGGCGAGGGACGCCAGCTGGATCTGAAGCCTGGAATGGATGGGGTGGGACAGGCGGAGCGCGCTACACGGATCAGCGAAACCTCACTCGCGCAGCGGGCAGGATCTAGTCCATGTGAAAATGCATGTGGATTCTTTTTGGGGGGGGCCGACAAGTGACTAGTTACAATGTTGAGTTTTGAAGGTGTACGTTTGTTCCCTTAGCCACTTTGGTTGATGCGATTCTACTACTGAACGACCGGAACTTCAATTGTAGTTCCAAGCACTGTTGATATTTGTGGATCAATCAATGTGCGCACAAATTTTACCATACCATACTGGTTCAGGTGGGGATGAAAGAATGTCAAATCACAATATTAAGCTTGATGTAGGGAGCGGACTCCAAAAGAACTGTTATCCTCAAAACTTTCTGTGCAATTCTGTTCGATGAAAACATTACACCACTCCAAGGTATTCTGCTGCTGAGCTTGTTCCAAAGAGATGTTCAGGGCGGGCTGGGGCTGTGCCAGCTAGTACTCCGCGTAGCCTCTCTCAGTCCACTTTAGAGTTGATGACGAGCTAGATTATAAAAATAAGTAACAAAAAGCACACACTCCATGGGACTGCCATATTTGCCAATCAGTTGGGGTGGTGCCAGCAGGGTCAAAAATGGGTCGGCAGTCCTATGGGCAGTTACTTCGACCTCGTCGTCGTGAGGTCGATTGGTCCCATCTTCCTGTGCTGCCTTTGTTGGTCTCCTGTGTACCCTCCCATCTCCCTCGGTCGGCTCCTCAGGAAGGCGCTCGATGACAAGTTGCCACTGGGCGTGCAGGGGGAGGTGTGCCGCGCAGGAGAAGCGGTTCCGCGCTGAACAGGATGAGTTGATGGTCAGCTGATGTAGACCATGCCCCCATATTCGTAATGGAGATGTTTGGGCTTGATTGAATCAAGCATCTACAATTTAGAATCAATTAGACTAATGTGTTGGCTCGATATGGCATTCCATTTCGGAAGAGAGAAATAGTTCCGCCGGATCTGGGTGCCTGTACGAAGTTCCAACTCTGCGGGCTGTTGTCGTCTTGGTGGGTCGGATTCTATTCAGCTTGACTATTTGAAGCCGACCCGACTTGAAGACACTGCATGTTGTATGGCATATTTACCTACATAGGGTGGTTGACCCGGGTCAATGCAGGCACATATGCCAGTCCCTGCAACTTTTGGGTCCGGTCCGCACCATCACTACGCGCTTTCTCACCAAGCCGGTCGGCAACGGCAACGAGCCGAGGCAAGCACTCCACGCCTTGGTCGAGAAGCGCTTTGATCAGCAACTTCAGCTGTTGCTGCTCAGCTGTGACTTTCAGACCGCCAGGTTTCACGTGTCCGTCAACGGACATCCGGTTTTCTGTCCGTTTCCCGCGAGCAAGCCCAAGCGCTAGATACTTTTGGAGGTTTAGTATCGCTTAATTACTGTAATGAGACTGCAACTCACTCACATGGAAATGGCCAGGCCCTGGCAATATGACGTTCCGACAGCGACATTTGCGGCATTTGGAACAATCTGTTTGTCAGAGTGTCGGTGTTTGTGATGGTTTAAAGGGCGCACCGGCTTTGTGAGCCACATGATTCACGGCACCGGCTTTGTGAGCCATGCACTCCTTGATTCAAATCGCTGGCCTGAAGTGGAGAAGGGTCGGAAGACGATTAATTTTCGAGGAAGCCAGAATAAAGCATCATAAAGATATATTATCCCTAGGCGCTCCAACCATATCCTCAGATGGTGATTAGGCCCCCTGGCACCCACCCCAACCATCTTTTCAGGAGGTAGTTGGAGCCCTAGGGTATATATTAAATATATATATATAACTATATTAACAAAATATAAACGTAATCAATATATTTATATATATATATAAATATTAGTTGGACAAAGTTCTATGAGCTCCATGTCGGTGCTTTGAGTCCCCAACTCGCCTTGAGAGAATATCATAGTGAACTTTCATGTTTGGCCCAACTGGTACACAGTCCTGGACATGCCAATGGACATGCAACATATGTAAACGTATGTATGTAGACCACATTTGTAATGTATCTTAGCCAGATTCAACATTTCGAGCGAGTGGGTCACAAGCTTGTTGAGAATCTTGGGATTAATGTTTTGCGTGCCTTTGTCAAGGGCAATCCAGCAATTACAATGTTTATCCATGTGTATCATGGTGTCAGAAGGCTCAATCACTTTGGTGTCAGCAACGGCTCATGCGACTCACGAAGGCGTATGGGTTTCCCGGGCGCCCTTCGCTCACACTTCCGCAGTTCGGAAGGCGGACCCTCCCCATCGATCCATGTATTCAACTTCCCAGACGTTGGGGGGCCAGCCGGACGTGGTTCTGGGTAGATCATTCAGGGCCAGTTCTGAGGGATATATATATAATATATATACATAGATATAGATACAACACAGTATATATGTATGCTTGGTGTGCCAGACAGTTGACTCATGCGTTGAGATATAGAAACTATATTGTTATATATATATATAATATATAGCTTTGGGTACATGGTTTTCTCTCGTATATAGCTTTGCACCACTTTGGGTACATGGTCGATACCTGACTCTTGGTGACAACCTGCACACGCTGCAAACATCGGGCGGACACCCTCCCTGCAACGGGCGTGAGAAATACCATCCCTAAGAGAAAAGTATGTTCACTAGTACTTCATCAACCAGTTTTGTTGAGGTGCACTTACTCAAAGTGGGGTTTACCCCAACTTTATACTCTAGTATTTGATTAATTGTCTCCTGGTCATGCCATCCACCGATTCTAAGTGATTGAGTGGGGTGCAAAGCCCATGCAGAGAGAGATAGAGAGAGAGAGAGAGAGAAAGTTATCAACCATATAGTTACTATCAGAGACAGGCACTTAATATGGAATCTTGAGATGTTCCAATTACATAACATCTTAGTGGATTTATATTACATGTCTATACGCATGCATTACTAAGAAAGTACCTGCATTCTAGCTACTCGTCTATGAGTGTATACTATTCCTGGCGCTTGATGACGGAAGCGAAGAGGAGTTGCATAACACGCTTGGCCAGACTTAGCGCCTCATGGACCCCCCATATACTACCACACATGCTACATATACTACCCAGAAACTCCATGGAAATGCCCACATTGACCCCGGGTCAACAACGACTAAAGCCCCATTTCTCGTGCCTGGCCGACCTTATGCCTCCAGTGCCCACCGAGGCAGGCTGTAGACTCCTCCCGTGCGGACTCGTCCGCGCGGAATGCCACGACGCACGAGCCGCGCGGCTCGATGATCTCAGAGGCTGAGGAAGCGGAGGAGTCTTTAGAGGACGGAACCAACGAGGCCGTGGTCCGAGCTCGGCCCAGGAATTCCACTAACTGTGAGAGCTTGGGGGAGAGCTCAGAGCTAGTGGGATTTCCATTGATTGGAGTCAATAATAGCTTGGAGTCTAAAAAGTTTGCATGGGCTAAGGGGAAAGGTTCAAAACAGAAGTTTGGCTCTAGCAGTTGTTTGCGGAAATGGAACTCTCCTGGGTCCTTATGTTGGTCCTTCTACCAGCAGGTCCAGGACCGGAAAACAGGTCGGTTTGGCGCCGCGCCGGGAGTTCCTGGTCTTAAAGGGGTTGGTGCTCCGATATCCTAGTCAAGCGTCACAACGCCGGAGCGGCCATGTTGTGGATGTTGTTGTTGCGGCTCTTGATTTGTTGAGGAGCTGCCGGAACTGGACCCTCGAGCCAACAGCACCGATACTGGTGCAAGAGCACTTCCAACCTGGATGTTAGGGTCCTGTCAGACAACCCGTTGAAAGATCCATGGTGCTTTGCACTGAGAATGATGAATGGCCAAAGGCCCGCCACAAGGGGTTGTTGGAGGTGTTTTACCCCTCGTTATACAACACCTCAAATCCTCTGTAGTAATTCTTGTGTAATGAAGTTACATGAAAGATTCTTACTAGCAAAGCCTTGCAGTCATGAATAAACCAGACACTCCATGGGACTGCCATATATGCCGATCAGTTGACCCACCTGGCACCACCCCTGGCCTGATCGGCAGGCAGTCCTATGGCAGTCCGGTCGCGTTTGGGATTCTGATCCCTCTTGATGTGACCGTCCTCAAAACGGGCTCACAACATGTTCAAAAGCCTTTGAATGGTTTTCCATTCCAGACATCTCACGTCGACCCATGTGTGTCACAATAAACATCAATAAACCATAAACCATGTTGTTTGTTAAGAACCTGATGCATCCGATGCCATAGTTTGTGTTGAGCATTTAAACCAGTTTACCATTCTGGCCACAAGTTGTAACAAAGACCCCACAACGATACAACCATTCGAAACCACCATACGGCCAACCAGACGACACCCCGCAACCCGCCTCTTCAGGAGCCAGAGACCCCCAACAAGGTGCGATGTGGGACGTCGGTCTCCACCGCGTGCTTGTTGTTATTGAAGGGCTTACGCCTAGCGGGCCGGGCTTACGCAGGGAAGGTTTATTTTTGTTGATGTTTTTTGAGGGAGAACGATTCACCCTAAAGAAGGATGTGACGACTTGCTCTATCCTTCTTGCGTCGTTTCTTCAGGGGGTCCAAGAATTGAACACTTGATGGTCGGATCGAGGTTGCTGAGCCTCAAACCGCTGGGGTCCGGACGCAGTCCAAGCTGAGCATGTTTGGACGCAATTTGTTTGTACTTTTTTGTTGGGGTGTGAGTGAGGTGGGGCTCTGAGGTCATTCAGAAGGGCCACTTGGAATGAATGTTCACCTGCATTTCATCAAACACTTGGTCATAGAAACTTGGAGATCCCTCCGTCAAGGAAATGGTCTGATAACGTGCATCAAAGATGAATCCTGATTTCAAAAAGCACAAAAACACTGGTTTTGACCATGCCTGCGGCCCACTGCTGGAACGAAACACTTCTCAGTTTGGACAGAGGATGTGTTCGTTCGCGGGCTGTGGGCTTTGTCGACGAAGGAGAGCAGAGCACACGGAAACCACTTGGTTGGCTGCTCAGAATTCAAAGTGACTTCTCAAGCAAAGGGTGATTGGTTTCCTTGTTTGTGTGGTGATGGTTTTCAAAAACAAGGGTCAACGGGTTCTATGGCACTACGCAGACGGGTTCAATTTGTGCGGTCATAATGCAGAGTCGCGCTGCGTTGCACTTGCTTCCCCAGGCGGCCATGGAGCAAAACCTAGAGGAGGATGAGACGAATGGGAACACGGACAAGACTATGAGCATGAAGAGTCTTGGCTAGGTGGTGCGGGCAATGCGCTCTTCAAAAAACATACAAACCTTGAACCTGAATGACCTCTATCTTGGACCAGCAGCCAAGCAAAATATGGTCCTTTCCTCCTTTCAAAGCCGGGGGTCATGCTTTTCGGTTCAGACGGACTGTCTTGGCAGGCTAGACTTCAGACTTCCTCACTCCCCCGTCCGAGGGTCCACTGCCGTCGCAAAGTCCGTTCTCTAGGACTCAGCCGTCTGGGAGGAAATGGATGAAGCCGAAAGCGAACTTTTCAGCCAGCCGCGACCTGGCTGAGGGGTGTGCGAGACACCACGTGGTGCGGGGACTAGACTGACCATGGAGTCACAAGATGGGGTGGTGTTTTTAGATCTCATAACACTAACCCTACCTTCTCAGAAGGTACTTGGACCCTCCAAACCTACATGACAGTGCCTCCAATCACCTTCTGAGAAGGTACGACTGGATCCCTAGGGTAAGTGACTGGATGTTCTGGGCACCCCCGTCCTCCGTTGGTTCGGCAGCCCAAAGGCAGGTCCAACGGAATCGGTTCCTTTTCGGTCAACCAGGGGCTCTTCCTAATTGCTCGATCACTCTATACCAGCAGTCGGGTGGGTCAGGTCACCCGACTGTTCGACTGTCCGGTCTATAGTAGCCCTGGGCCCCTGGGGTCCTAGTTCAGGTCACGTTCGTCCATCTCTGTAGGGCACTTGGCCCACTGGACGTGATTGATTTGGTCGAACGGCCTCACCGCCTCACGACCTGAATCCCTTCATGGTTCCCAACCTGCATCGGACCTGTTGGACCCTGGACCCGTTGGCCTTTGTGTGGCTGGTGTTGCGTAGCTATCAGCATCGGCTTGATGTGGCACCTCCGAGCTATGCCAGCTATAAGCCTACCACCCACCGACCTAAGCTTCCATCTCCTTCCCACTTCCCACCTCCTCGCCCTGTGCCCGTGGCAGGTAGCAACCGCTTCTTTGGTACCCAGCGGAATGCCATCGTGGTGCACGCCAAGCGCAGTGATGCCGAGTTCGAGAACCTCACAGGCCGTGTTTTCGGGCCGTCGAGTCGAGTCGAAAGCGTCTTCATGCGTCGACTCACACATCACGGAATAAAACATCCAATGGGGATTCCAACAACCATGGGTTTTTACCGAAGGATTGTACCACACCTTGCACCAGGTGCCTCCGCATTCGTTTTTACCGGTCTTTCAAGATGGTCCAGGTGCTTTTTTTGACCCCCCTGGCACCACCCCAACTGATCGGTAGTCCTATGGCAGTCCCATGGAGTGTTTGGGATTGGTTCCACTTGGCAGGAGGGACGGAGGGACGGGGGGTTTTCGGGAGCGCTCCTGGAAGCACCCCGTCGACTAGACCAGGTCTACGCCGCTGGGCAGGCGTGGTGGTCTACAGTCCGCTCCTGGGAGCCGACGAGCTGTGGGGATGGTGATTTGGGTGTGGAGTTGGATATCGAACCTTGAGAAAACACCTCATACCTAGCACTTCCTGTCCGGGTGCCCTGTTTGGAGACCTGTTTACAGTCCGGGTAGGGTGGTTGATTCATCGACCTTTGGGCCCTTGCTGGGTTGGGGCGGGCCTTGAAATGCCCACTCGCGCCCACTTCTATGACCAGGACTTCAAGGAAATGCTGTTTTCCATATGGGTGGCAGGACGTCTTGACCTACCTGGTGTAATATATGCCAGACCCACATTCCAGGTTCTTCAACGCCACATGGTTGGTAACGTGACTTGAGGTCACTTGGGTATATGATCTATAGGTCGTTGCCCATTGCCCAGCTCGAAACACGGGCTCAATTGAAGAAGCCTGATAAGCTGCGTCGTCGTGGCCCAATCTCACCCACAGACTTGCTGAGCTGAGGCTTTTCAGCTACACCATCACGCTTCTCATCGTTTTGCACGTGATCTTGCCGCCCAGCACGGAAAACGTTATTTATGTGTTTTTTTGCTCGGATGGTTTTGGATAATTACTAGATCAAACAAGACCCTTTTGAATTTCATATCATGTTCATAGTAGATGACCGGGTGCTTCACATTCCAAGCGGAATTTGCCTTCATCCTGTGAGTGGAAGCTGCCTCCAGGTTGGGTGTGGAGGTGGATTTGTCCGTCTCTGTACCCTTGGAGGAGATCCCCTCCTGGCACCATGGCGAACGGAACGGGATTGGGCGAAAGGACGTCCCCAACAGCCAATACCGATTTGGGTGTCCATGCCCTGCAGGGCGCCGTGGTTTTGAGGAGGTACTGAACATCTCGGATGTATTCTTTTTGGCGGAAGGCGCACTGAACGGACTTGTTGATGGGCATCGTGCCGGCACTTCGTAGCAGTAGACCGTCTTCATGGAGAGATGCGACAACTTGGCGGCCCAATCCGTCCCCATCCGGAGAGTTGATGGTTCGACCCTCGGAAGTAGTTCGACCCTCCAACCAAATCCCATCAGATCCCCCAATGGCCGCCGTGCATTCCCTTTGGCCATGGCAGAGAGGAACAAAAAAGCGGAACGCTTCACCGAGAAACGGCGGATTCAGACCAAGGTTCTTCACCTTCAATGCGGTCAGCGTGTGTTGTTTCGTGGCGGAGCTCATCTTGAAGCGACTCGGACCATCTCGGGCCTGCGCGTGGATTTGGACCGACGAGAGGAGAAGCGTTTTGAAGCGAAGGCGACGTTGATAGACGTGAAGGTGACGGGAGCGATGGATTTTGTTTGGGACAACATGGCAAGGACTCAAGGACCCTCCTGCAGATTAACATGGACCCTGACAGTGACAACATGCTGGGTGGTAGATGAGAAGAGTCTTGCAGTGGTCCTAGTCCGCAGGGGGATCAGTTGGGTTCCCGGCATGTGCGCATCGAACATCGAAGTTTAGCCGGCACTCTCACCAGAACAACCAGTTTGCGGGTGGTGTTCCTTCCAAAAACGACGACATCAGACTATATAAATAACTATATCTAAATCACCCTTGTCATGAATCTTGATGACATAGACTTCGTTTGAACACTCTTTATGACAATAGCTTTGTCTAAGCCACCTTTGGTAAAGCCCCAGTGCATGGTGAAAAGAGAAACAGCACCCGTCCTGGCCGAATGCGCAGGTTCATTGCTCTGGGCTGTGGCGGATTTTGGTATGGCGCCTCGCAGAAAGAGAAAGAGATGAAATAAGCCAAAGAGAGAGCCCCCCACATTTGCTATATTTGGACCCTCCATGATAGGTGAGGTGTCTAAAGGCCACCACTTTGGGGTCCCAAAGAAGCCTAAGTTTTTCTCCCGTTCTGGGACAGGCATGTTTGCAGACCTTGGGGGCTCCACAAGATTCCCCTTTTGGCCCACCAAGGCACGGAAGGATTGAATATGGTTTTGAGGTCAATTTGGATGCTCTACTACTCTGAATTTGGATGCAAGTTTTGTTTTGAGTGGCGGTGAGCTGCAACAGAAAGAGGGTCGAACGAAGCAGCCCCAAAAGGGTCGAACGTTTGGGCTGTAGATGGGGAGAGTGGCTCAGGCAAAGAGTCCTATTGGAACATCTTCGACTTTGTGGTGATCGCGGTGAGCGTCGTAGCTGCTCGGAAGCAGCGCGAGAAAGGCTGGACTACCAGACTGATGGCCATCAGACATGGGCGTTTTGCTCGAACCACCGTAAGAATATACCCCATATATCCCCATATTAAAGCCTGATTCCTTCCAGCGTTTTCCAACTGTGACTGCCAGCCCTACTGATTACAGGGCTTCAATAACTATTTCGGACGCTGTACACGGCAGCTGGCTTTGCATTACGTGTTCCTGCTCCACCACCACAACACGTAGACAGCCGAACCCTGGCCGAGTTGGAACCGGTCCTTTTCGGTTGCTTCGAAGAACGCGCCGAAACGGTTGCCCCGTGCGCCGTCGCCTCGGACGATGCGTCACCAAGGACGTCGTCTTGGATTTTTGGGCCCGGATGTTGTCGCCCAACATGAGCACGGGGCAGTTGAGGCGACCTCCGTCCGACCTGGGAAGCATCGTCAAGGGCGGGCGAAAGCGAGGCTTCCGGCGTGAGGAGGAAGGAAGATGGACCGCGTTTGGGGTCCCCTCATTTAGGAAAGGAATCATACTTTCCGCTTGGCACCTGTGGTTTTACCTTGCTGGTAGAATCAGAATCAATCCAGCATTTGTTCCTTTCGGATATGGAAATTTGCCCACTTCCCTGATCGCAGGCTCTTGCGCAGCATCCGCTTCGCCCGCGCCTTGCGCTCCATCCGCGTGGTGCGGCTCTTCCGTTACATCGGAGCTTTAAGGACGCCCCTGGAGTCTCAAATGGGAGACATAACTATGACTTGTTTTATCTTGTGTTTTGTAGGGTCATGTTATCTTCAATTTTTCCAATGTAGTTTGAAGGGTCCAGGTTGTGACTTGATGTGACTTGCATTATGTTGGGTTATGGAATGCCAACGGTTGATGACTGCATATGACTGCACAACGAATGCCCGCTATTTGGATGATACAAATCATCTCCATGCCTCTTCACTACATTCAACGGCAAGGTTATGTATAGGGTTTCGGTGGCTTGAATGACCTTCTCAAAATGCAGCAGAATCCCTGGTAGATGATCAATTCCCAGGCAGCTACTGTAGCCCAGCACCTGGAGCTGGGTGGAGACTGAGCTCGAGTGGTCAGGGGCTTTACTCCGCATGGACCATCCTGGACCCCCAAAACCACTGGGGTCAATTCCCAGGTTCCATGTGGTCCGTTGGCGGGGGGCTTTTTTCCGTTGGAAACGCTGGCGGTCCGTTTCCGTGTCCAGGACGCTGGCCTTGTCGATCCTCAGTACTATGGAGCCTCGGTGAGTCGATGCTTTGCGAGTCGACCATGGGGTGGGGAGATGAGCTCCCAGACTGCTCCGGAGGTGAGAGTGTTTTGGCAAAGGCACTGGGTGTCTTCTCAAGTGGTGTCGCTTCACAGCTTTAGACCCCATATGAAGAGGAATCCTGGCATGAGACATCATCCCACATCTTGTTGGGCAAGAGTCGGACAATAATAAATAACTAAATGAATAAACATAAAACTGTACCATGCACAGCCAACGCGCACGACGAGCAGAGTGCATGGACAGATATTGCATGGCTTGGCGAAAGACTGCTTGCCTTTCCAAGAGTGCCAGCTGCTAATATTTGCTAATATTACCACGGTATCATTGTTGGCATTTGGCATATATTATGTGCACCATATATGTTTCTTTCAAGGTAGTATCCTCCACCACAAAACCTCACATCCATTCCCATCCCGTTGACTGCAACTTCCAGTAGCAGCTGCCCCTTGCAAAGCAGTAGCACTGCGTAGAATTTGAGGGCGGCCCTAGAAAGCACGCGTCACTCCTCTAGGCATTGAACCACTGAGCTCCAACAGAAGCGGGGCAGATGGTCCAGGCACCCCCAGGTACGGTCATAGCTGGAGGGAACAGTTGGAGCTGTACGGATTTGTCATTCTCGTGTACACTCTGACTCACTGAGTGTCTCTTCCATACCACCAGCACTATTTGCCCTAGGGCTCCAGTCATACCTCCTCAAAAGGTATGACTAGACCCTCCTGGCACCCAGTCACACCTTTGAAACGAAGGTACGAGTACTTGGAGCCCAACGGGATAGGTCTTGTGAAGCAAAAAGGCTCTAAGCTGGAAGATGCTGGAAGGCCCACGCCCCAGCTCCCGCATGTCACCTCATCACACACATCCTCACACCATCTCACAGACGTCGACGTCGACGTCGTGGTGTGGCAGCCGCAGAAAATATGTATGGTGTGGGTGTGGGTGTTGGTGTTGGTGTTGGCGTTGGCGTTGGCGTTGTTGTTGTTGTTGTTGTTGTTGTTGTTGTTGTTTTCAGTCGTTTTGCCCCAAGGTGTCGCTCTTTTGGACCTTGGCCTTGTTGATCATCCTCTTCTACAGCTTTGGTGTGGTCACTTTGGCCGAGCTGAAATGGTGGGTGTTTTTCGTTTGAAAACCATGTTTTTTTTGGTTATTTTAGGGACACCCGGGGGTTGGGGCAGTTTGGGCTCTTCTGGGGTGATCTGAGCCGGTGGGAGTCGGTTGTTTTTTTGGGTTTTAGGGACACCTGCGGGGCGGGAACATCGGAAGAGCGTCTTTCGCGCTATGAGGCTGGGGATGGGACGGATGGGATTGCAAAAAAGCAGGTGGCAAGAGTCGTAGTGAGTGAATACCATACAGACTCTGTAGGACAGAGATGGGAATCCTAAGCTGTCAAGGAGTTGCGGGCACCCAGCTCAAGGATTTGGCAGTGGCCCCATAGTAGTGAAGCGAAGCAAAGCAGGTAACAACAGGTGACATTATACATGGTAACATCACATTTTGCTCAACAAGCTGCTGCAACATGTGCTCAAATTAGAGTTCGATGGTCAATTTTCAGGCGCACAGATGCACAAACCCATCCCCTACTATAATGATCGTCGTTCAGGTCTTGACGCAGCTGGTGGTGGAGCATTGTCGCTTCCTGGGGATGGAGACCTGGGCGTTCCGCTGGGCTTTTTCTGGTCTTTTGTGCGTGTGGGTCGAAGAAGCAGTGGAGACGGAGGGTCCAGGGTGAGTACTTCGAGATGGGCCAAAAGACGTCGCACTATAAAGGGAGTGAGGTCGAAGGTGTATTGAAAGGATAACATGGATATCCATGGATTAACTGATGCATCTTGGGAGGTGCAGAAGCTTTTGGAATGCATCCAGTACCCCAAAGCCCTGATCTTGCTGGGACCGTCTACCTCCAACACAATAGGGATAGCCAGATTCCAAGCCATGTCCAGAGTAAAACCATGTAAAACCCATGAGTCATGGTGGTGACTGGGAGCTAGAACAGGTGCTGATCGTGCTACTTCAAAGGTCCACCTAATTCGAACGGGATTTTTCATCTCAGGATCCAGAATGTTCGGACCCGTCGTTGACTCTTTGCTGTTTTCATCTTTTGTTCGATAGTCGTTGACTTCTCACGTTCTTACCACGTGCACCGCGAATCCGCACGGGCGACCCCGACGCATCGATTGTGGCGCCGAATTCTGACGCATGGGTTCCCATGGCCGGCCTCACCGTCAGATCTGTGCGTATACCGCATTCCATTTTTGTCCGATCGTCTCCGCAGGAGAGTGGGCAAAGCATCGTGTCCAATCCAATGGCTCACTGTCCTGAGCAATTGCGCAAGTATTGGCACAACGTCCCCGAGAGCCACTCGAGCCGAAGCGAGTTATGCGGCGTTGAACGTTCTGCGGTCATCCCGCTGCCAGCTGGGGATGGCCACCGGTTCGCAGGTGGCGAACTCGCGTGGCTGGGGCGAGTTTTGGCGGAATCCGGTTTGTTTTTTCTCCCTCCGTCGTCGTGTAGTCAGCCGCGCCGTTGGAGTCCACGCGTTGCGGAAACAAACACCGTGGAGTTTGGGGCGGTTCTTTTCAAACGTGTCCCCAATAAAGATGTTAGTTTAACAGGCGAGGTTTGTTTTGGGAAGACTTAGCTCGTTTGTGGCGATGTGTTGGTGGACACATATCTACACCTGCTCTGTTCATGCGTGTTTTCGAACGATCCGCATGCCCGATCCGCTTCCACCAGGTATGCTGACACTCTTCATGGCGATTTCGCAAGGCCGTTTACGTGGATGTGCGCAGCACGTTTGAACTGTCTTTGTCCTGGGACAAGCGTGTGTTACCAGTTGAATGGTCCTGCATTCACTGATCATCAGTGAGTCGGTTTGTTATGTTTGTTGTTGGTTGTTAGTTTGGATGATTTTGTACATATCGCTGGGGCCAAAGCATGACACCCTGCATTTGGCCTCGGGATGCTTTAGAACAGGCTGCACGGAATGATGTTGGTCTCAGAAGTTTACAACCACTAACTGGGTTTTTAGCTGTTGTGCTGGCAGGAATATATGATCTTAGGTTTGGTTTAGCACCGTGCATGATCATGTGTGGAAGCGTGTAAGATCCAACGGGGTAAGACATGTTAAGACTGCTACGACGATCTAAGATTGTATATATGCCAGTATCAGGTTTCCTGTGCGATCTTTACCAACATGGAAGTTGATGAACACCTGTTTGCAAGTGGCACTTTCCGCGTCCATGCGATGTGTTTGGCGGAGTTTCGCATGTAGTTTACTTCACCAAACAACACCGAACAACAGTTCTTGAGGGGAGTGACCTTCTGCTTCTGTGTGCATTCCCCAGGGCGTGCACCCTTCCCTTCGAATTTGAAGCTTCCTCCGCCTCGCATCGACGCCCGTTCGACAGCTTCGCCCCACGCCCGTTCGCGACGTCGACGCCGACTTCAGCCGACGGAACCAACAATGGACGGCAGGACTGAACTGGGAAGATGCGATGGACCCTTTGAGGGAAGTCTCTGCCCTTGCAGTGGTGCTGGTGATTCTGTACGTGCCTCGGACGGAGGATGGACGAGGGGACTTCCTGTGCTCCGTTGGAGAAGCGCAGCCAGCAGCCTGGGCGAGTAGTTTTTTCGTTTCACAGATGTCACACTGTTGATGAATAGCAGATCCCCCTTCCAGAATGCGTTTGCAATGTAGTTTGCATCTCTATACTGGGGGGTCATGAATTGCATGCAGATCTTTGGCCAGCTGTGGGCAGTCCATTTCGTTGGCAGGAGATCTGCAGGGGAACCTGGATCCAAGCATGAAAGATGATGAAAGATCACTGGTACGTCTTATTCTATCCTGTGGAGTTGGTGTGTTTTAATTAATTAGCAGCGGCAGCACCCGCCGCCGCCGCCAATGGAGCGGATCTCACAAGAGGCGAACGAAGCAAGTCCATTCCCGAAAACAAGAGAACTAACATTGTATGAGAGACATGCTCCGGTTGCTCCGGCAGGAGCATATCTAAGCTACCGGTCACTGGTGGCCAACCAGGAGGCTTTGTGACTGTATAAATGGTTTTCCTCCAGGTTACTGTGTCAGAACACCTAAGTCCGCATGGAAGTGGATGGCACCGCCCGTTTGGAGTGGATTTCATGGTCTTCCTTTTGGGGCCATTCTCCACTTCCATGTTAGTTCCGGGGAGTGTATCCATCGAAGTAGACTTGACTCCATCGCACTCCGAATTCAAAGACAATCGCTCACACAGCCTGAGTCAATGCCTGCCCTATCCCAGGTGGTGATCACTGTGTTTGCCATCCTCAACGCTACTGGGACAACTTCTGTCGAGTGAACTCGTGGAGAAAGACAATGGTTCATACCTGGACCCTCCAAAGAGTCCTCCAGAAAATGGGACCCTACCCTATAAATAATAGGTACTTGATGGTGCGTGTCCCCACTTTCCGAGGTACTATTGAAGACTGTTGAAACTTCAGGTACCAGGCCGAGGGGTGAACTCCTCTTTTGGGGAAGATGTGTTGTTCAGATCATCCTGTTTTTTCGGCAAATCCAGGCATATCGAGTGTGTGGACTCCTAAGTCTAAGTCATATATGATGTCATATGAAATCTAAGTCTGGGTGTTGTGCAGTTTCGATTCGAGACAACAAGTTAAGCTACGCTGTTGGTTTCGTTGTGTGTTGTTTGTTCTTCTTGAATTCGTTTGTCATTTGTTCTCCTCCCCTCTTCTTGTTATGCAATGCCCTTGTTTTCCATGCGCCTGCTTCACAGAAAGCATGACATGCATCGGACATGATCAGCTACCACGACTTGCCAGTATGTGCTCATGCAGCGCATGGAGCGCTGCAACAGATTGTTGCTTCACTACCCCTGAAGTCTCCAAGTCTTCAGACCTGGTCCTTACCTAAAGGTACCAGGTACGTAGCTGGCATTTTTCCCGGGTCCCTTCACTAGGGGTAGGAATGGCACAGGTACCGCCATCAAGTACCTATCTTTTATAGGGTCATGTCCCATGCTCTAGAGTCCTTTTGAGGGGCCAGGTCCTGTGGCCAAAAATGATGCTTTCCACAGCAGCTGCTCCCATGTTAGTTGCGCGCGTGCCGCCACCGAGGTGGTGACAGGCGTATTTTTGAACACGGCGATTGAAAGTGCAGGCGCAGACAAGGACACCGTGGTTGGTCACTGCCGTAGAGTCGTGCTTTCTTGTTTGAGTGGTGGGCCTGGAATACTATCAGTTGATGAAGGTTTAGTAATGTTGACCTATGATTGATAAACTAGTGACCTTGTTTGTAAAGTGTTTGGCTTGCCCTACATAACGTATATTCCGAGATTCCAAGGATAAGTTAAATTCGAAATGACATGATCCCTTACTAAACGAATATTAACATGAAAGGGAAGAGAAAATTTAGATTAGACATGAAATGACCACCTTTAAAAGGAAAATTACAATGAAAAGGGAATCAGTGTTCAAATTAGAATGGCATTTGATCGAATTTAATTGCAATAACTCAAACTTGAATTGGAATTGAACTTAAATGTAAGTTCAGTTGAATTGGAGTTGAATTTGAGTTTGAATTGATTTGGAATCGAATTAGGCTTGAATTAGAATTAAATTTGAATTAAACCTAAAAGTAAGTTGAATTGAATTAGAAATATATTGGAATTGAATTATATAAATTGGATTTGAATTGGAATTGAATTAGAACTGAGTTTGAATTGAATTGAATTAGAATTGAAACAATATATTTTTCAGTGAAACAAATTAGTTATTTAGCTTTATTTAGGGTAAACTTGTTTTAGGGTTTGGTGGCTTCTTGGGGAGAAACCTCTTTCCATAATGGTGTTGATCAATTGTCAGTGGTTTTTGAATAAGGGATTTATTTATAAAGAATTGATGATAATACGTTGTGAGATGAAGAGGAATTAATAAAGAAGGAACCCAAAGAAGCAAAATATTAACAATGGAATGAACAGAACTACTTAAACACGAATTTAACCAAGTTTTTCCAGTGAGCAACATTATTTAGCTTTATTTAGAGTTTGGATTTATTGTTTGGTTTGTTTAATATGTGTGTGTCGTTATTTTTATGGTCGCATTCAATTTTAGTGTGTTTTGCTTGATTTAAGCGTTATGTTTCAGTTTTACTTTATTTATACATATATATATATAATCTATACGTTTTAACGTATATTTTGTTTGTGTTTTTTTGTTGTTTTGTTGTTTTGTGTTTTGGTGAAATGTCTAACTATATTTTGGGCAGGTTTATTAATCAGACCAGAGTTGGCTAACTTTATTAAGTTTATGTTTATTAATCATAGGTCAACATTAAGATACATTATTCCATTGTGCAATTGGTCATTTTCCGCCTCGCTTGCAGGATGTAGCGACTATCCGGCAGGTGCAGGCGAAAGCTCAGCAGGCACCTCTCATATTGTTGTCGGAGATTCCTCCTTTCCCAACTGATTCAAGTGTGCCAATCTATGCTAACCTAGAACCAAGCCCCAAATTGGTAGGTCGATTGGGAACATACAATGATAATATATATAAAGATATATAAGATATATAAGGGTCAGTCATCCACTGAACGACATTTCACATTGCCGCGACTAGTAGCTGCAATCCCCCGACATCAACTCAAATCGGACCTTTACGCTCGCAGCCGTGGCCTCAAATCGAGTAGACCAAGTCACTGAAGCAGCTTTATCTAAGCAACTGCGATTTTGGCTTCGAGTCTTCGCATGGGATGATCGTTTTTGTCGGCTTTCCGTTGAACCGGGCACGTTTGGAGGTGACGGCTGGATACGGTTCTGCCAGAACACTAATAAGTGGTCCCCAAATAGAGAGTGGCACGGTGTCCAAGACATGTTCAAAGGGATGTTGTTGTTACTGTTGTTATTTCTATTTGTTTGAGGCTTTGTAAAAAATATATGTAGTAATATGTATAATATATATATATATATATATGTCAGGTGTGTGTGTGTGTGTTTATACCCATTATAGACCTGAACGACCTCCAGCTTGGAGGATCAACTCTACAAAATATGGCCTATTCCTATCAAACAGGAGGTCAAAGTGGACTCTAAGACTAATATTCTTACACTAATGGGCTGCGAAAAGCAGACTGTATACAGTCTCCCTATTGTGGGCCAAAAAGAAATGTCTTCCCAAATCAGGTCGAAGCCTTGCAACAGATCTTCCGAGAGATCGACCGCGCCAATGAGAACGAGGTCAGCTTCGAGGCGGCTCCACCCGCGCGGGCGATCGTTCGTCGTGTTTGACCCATTTTGATCGGTGAAATGCTGGAATTCGTCACCAATAATTTTTACGAAAACCAGCCGATAGGCTGAAACTTTTGGAGCACACAAAGTGAGAAAACCAGCCGATAGGCTGAAGCTTTTGGAGCACACAAAGTGAGAAATTGGCATGTGTGTGTGTGTCTGGCGGGGGGGGGGGACGTGGTCTTGAGGTAACAATTATACAATTTGACAGAGCCTGCTCATGTCAGTGGTTCTGTGTTTTGGTCAATTTTGCAATATGATATTGGCATCACTGGCTTCATAAGTTCGTGTCTCGCTTCGGAAAAGCAAAATGGATTGCGCCAGTTCCTTTGGGTTCCACTAGTTTTCGTTTCCCCCTTCTCAGGTTAATGTTTTTGTTTCAACCATTCACACGTCATAAATGTGTGCGTTTCCTTCGGCATTCATCCTCTGGTTTTTGGGTCCACAACCCCGCCCCACCCCACGACCTCGCCGCTCGAATCGAATCTGCGGCTACTGCTAGGATGTGCGGAATGCCATGTCTTCTGGAGAGCTGTCCAGCTTCATGGTGCCTGGGTTTGTTCGGTTCGATCCGCTTCGGTGTTTGTCGAGCCGTGCTGATGGTGTGAGTGGGCACTACGGACTGCGTGACTCACTCCATGGGGATTGTGTGTTGTTCTTACCAAGTGTCGAGAGTGCACGGTTTGCATCACTGGCGCATCATTGGTGAGGCTGGGCTGGCAGAATTCTTCGCAATTTGTGTGATGTTTGTTGCATTTCAATCTTGAGTATTACAACATATTACAACTGAGATGAATTTCCAATGTATGAAATACTACGAAATTAGAAATATTTTCCATCACTGGCCATACTCTTTGATGTTGTGAGTAATTAGACCCAGATCCATGCGTAAAGATCCCATTGGTGATCAGCCTTTTTCACCGGCTGACGCCGAGGAATCGTTGGGCATTTCCACAGATGATGTCAGGCAGCTTGTCGTGGCCGTACCTTAAAAGAGAGGGCTGAAGTTAAGCAAGGATTCAGCTGATCAGGTCTCCTCTAAACTGGCTTCAGGAATCGGAGCCACCGTTCAAACTGTTTAGTGGAAACATGATGAAACATGTAAAGAATGATAAGTCTCCTTCGATGGCCATGCACAGGTTCATGTATGTGATGGACAAATTCTTTGGCTAGAGAGACCTCTTGGGGATGGTCAACCAGGGGGGCCGACCCAACATAGATTTTGCCAAACCCTCAATGTGAAAAATGTGTTGGATCCGGCTTTTCGGTGAATTCTATCCAAAGATATCCTAACTACCTCAGAACAGCAACCTTAAGTTATATTATATAGATGAAGTTTGCAGGTCCCTCTTGCCATTATGATATACTAACAAGTGCATCGCTGCTAGTAGCAAGAACATGAGTTTGTGTGGTGCTTCATCTGGTTGGCCGACCACTCCTTGCCAATGGCTGCTAGAGTTTGGCTCTCGAAATGGTCCCCAAACCATTTGCTGTATGGCTGGGAGAATCTTCACCAGCAATCCCGATATCTTCATTGTTGTACCCGATTCCACGCAAACTCACCACCATAAATCCTTGTAAATAAATATTCAGCCCGTGGCTCCGCCTTGCTGAACTTCTGGCTTCACGAATTCATGAACCAGAGACATTAGCTTCCTCAATGGTTTCCCACCACAATTCAACATTCCACAAGCAGAATCAGAGGTTTTTTCCACACACCCAGCCGAAGTCACCGGTGCTGGCCACGCGCGTCGGCGCCTTGCGCGCTTTGCCACCCGGACGAGGACGCTGTTCACCTTGCTGGACTCGGAGCATCGAGGATTGATCGACTTGGATGAGCTTCTGAGCTGCAGACACTCAGGGGGCTGGAGACACTCAGGGCTCACTGCCCTCTCCCCCAAACCTAGGCGCGTTTTGTTTTGGAGGGCGGGGTGGGGCCTGGCGCTGGTGAAGTTGTGAAAAGAAGGTGTGCTTCTTATGTTGTTATTTTTCAGGGCTGGAGTATGGTGCAGTTCTTCTTTTTTCAAGGCCCAAGGCTAGGGCCTTCCCAGAGGAGGTAGGAGTTCTCGAGTCAGACTTAGGTGGCTGTGTTGGTTTGTAGATTTGTAGATGATTGGAGTGGAATTTCAATGTTGGTTCGGTCGACAAGCAATTTGTTTATACAAAAGCGGTACATGTTTTAAGCTTATGTTATTGAAATAGTTTTACAATTGTAAAAAACACATGTATAATACTTGTAAACACCCTAAGCCCGTGAATCCAACAAGGTTCAAGCCACAAACAATCCTATGTAGGGATGGACCTACCGAACCTCTACCTGAACCCCCTCAGAACCCTAACGCATCTTTCCAGGACTTCGTTGTTTTTTAAGAGAGAGAGAGAGAGATCACCGAACTGGGCCCCATCCAATTAGATCCAGCAGTGCAGTTCTGTTCGTTCTTTTCGGGGCGTTCCTGGACCAGCCATGTAAGCGCGCTGGAACCCATTTGGTCAGATCGCGTATGTTTGAAAGTACCCTCCCTCCAACAAACATGGAAGTGGACCATCCCCTGTTTGGTAGATTTCATGGTCTTTCCGCCCATGCCATCCACGTACCCATGATTGTTGGAGGGGGGGTGGTTTTCGAAGTCCGGACAAGCACCCAAGTCTACCTTTTTATTGTGAAGAGCAGAATTTTGGAGACTTACTTACCCAGTGAGCAGGCCCAGATGCTACATGGTGCGGTCCAGAAACCAAAGTTTACTCAGGTGACACTCTACCATTCCGAGCTTCGGCTACCTAACCGCTATCATACCGCTATCTTAGGTTCGTTTCGGGCTGCATGCAGCTCCACGGCCCCGCGAAGAGCATGCAGATGGCGAAGATGAGCTATGAGAACAAGCCTCTCAGGATGAGAAGGTACGACTCACTCACATCGGCCGTGGGGCAAATTACACACCTCCGTCAGTAGCAAAAGCCCAATGAATCCTAGCTTCGACCCACAGCCAGCGCATGGATGGCATAGTCAGATGGAAGACTACTTTCTTTGATGAACAGGGTGTGCCACCCACTTCCATGTTAGTCAGCCATGGAACAAGCGCCGGCCTTTCCAAGAGTGCGAAAGAGAAGCAAAGCTCAAGGGATGTCATGCACAAGGGCTCAGAAAGCTCCTGATCATTGGAGCTTGAGGGCTGTAGGGCATGGAGGGGTGTTGCTTTCATTTCATGTTCGGACATGGGTACAGACACACAATCACATTTCACGCACTGCACGAGCTGATTGGCCCAAAGATTTGATTTTCAATACGTTGGATATTGCCATGGGAACGCCAAACAACTGAAATTGTAAGCGTTGTGTTGGAGAAAGTGCCAACAGAGCCCTCACCACAGTGTCAAGTCACTAGCAAGGCCTTCGAGCATTCACAGCTCGAAGGCATGCTTCAGTTGAGGTGCTTCATAGGCTGCAGCTCCCAATGAAACACTTGGTCACCGTGAACCATCAATCACACTCAGAGGGTGTTTCCTTGTACAAATTTGCTGAATCTTTTCAACACAAAACGCAGGCCTTGGCCTGTATCGTTTCAATTCTCACGGCCGAAGTTGACCTGCACGCGTACCGTGAAAAATGGGTACACAAGTACCATATTTGGATCCATAGGGTCATGTTCCAGTGTTCCAGAGGGTCCAAGTCGGCGCTTCTTGATTTCATCCGCCACGCATCGAGGATGATTCGCTTGACTCTGAAGGGAGTCAGCAAGGCGCGCGTGGCGACCCGGATCGTCCCGCACGTCCAGCCATTCGACTTTGGGTGCAGAGGTGGGTCAGGTCACCCAACTGCCACGACTATACGTAGGTATATACCGGTGATGCCTAGTTCAGGTCACTGTCCAGGTTTTCCTTGGACCCTCCCAGCCCAAGGCTGGACTCTGTGAGGTTTCGTACCGATTTTCGATGCTGGCACTTGAGGATGTCCAAAACACATGGATGCTTCCTCCAAAGTACTCGAAGAAAATGGCGCGTGACTATAGAATCAGAAATAGGTACAATTTTGCACCCAGTAAGGCACTGAAAAGGCTTCAGGTGCATCTGGACTTTTGGAAAACCCTCTATGGGTTCCGTGGTGCTGGCGCAGAAAACACCGCCCAGTCGACCCACTCCAGTCGAGCGCTGTTTGCTCGCAGGAGTTGAAGATGGTGCGCAAGGGTTTGAATCTTCGGCCCAACAGCGGGCGCACTCACCAACTGCTGCAGGCGTGGACTTTGCTACCGGAGGGGAGACGAGCGGTGTGAGGGAGGGAGAGATTTACAGTGCGCAAGGTGTCGGCATTTGCGGGGGTGAGGAGTACAAACAACGCAGTGCTATTTGTGTGTGTGTGTTTAGAGCATCCTTCCTAGAACTGCACAACACACACATCCTCCAGCTTCAATCTTGTGGCAACATGCCGCCAAAGGAAGCAGGAGGAAGGTTAGAATGTGCTGGACGGCCAGGCAGACAGAGAGCATCCATGTCGAACAATGATGGAACATGGTTGATACCTTGTGGTGGTTGCTCGGCAGCGCAGTTTTGCGGCCATAAACAGCACAAAAGCCACCTGCAACATACTGCAACAGTGTTTGATAAGCTCCCAGGTGTCATGGGTCCCGTCTTTCGAGCTTCCCTCCAAAAATATGGCTTTCTCAGGATCTCCATCCATTTTTTGGCCAACATGGAACCAATCCGAAGGCATGCGCCCATCCCGGTCGTGTTTGGCAGGATGTGGACAAGGCCGAGTTGGTCATGGACAAGTTCTGAGCGCCCTGAGCCGAGGAACCAGACGACAAGAACCAATGAACCACCAGCTGCCGCGCCGGACGAGCTGCCGCGGGCTTGGCGCGCGGCGGGGTTGAGGTGAACTTTCATGATCGTTTACTAAGAGTCACGTAGAGAGGAAGGCCCTTATCACTGGCCTGTACTGGAGAAGCATGGAAATTCTTGGGTTTCACTCTCCCACGAACACATCGCATGGACATGTTTTTGCCTCCTGTTCGTAGAGCAACATGGTTTGCCCGGGGCCTAGTTTCCATGGTCCACTGGAGCCGTGGCGGCGCCCTTTGGAGCGAACGGACGACAAACAAGACAAAAGAGACGGATCAAAAGGGGTTCTCGTTTGATGCCAACTAGACAGGCCACAGATCGAAAGCACATGGCTTTCAAGGCAGTTAACGGCAAGGTTTCCGTACCTTGCTGACCAGACTTAGGTGCACAAGTCAAAGAGGTTTGTCAAGGATGCGATCTTTTTCTTTGGACCCTCAGAAGGTACGACTGGACCCTCCTGGCACCCACCCCAGTCCCACCGAACCGAAACGGTTCGGTGCGACTGGAGCCCTATAGGCTTAGGGTTTGAAGCGAGACCGGTCCTTCTCACAAAGTATCGGATATTTGGTGAAGTCGCATGGCAGTGCTAGTGGGGTTGACTAAACCTGAAGATTCACCCTCATGCAAGACTAACCTTGTGAGGTACATGTTTCAGAAACTGTGAGGACAACGGGAGACCCCGAGCACGTGAGTTGTTTGGGTTTGTACATGTCAATCAATATGGGAAGGTTCCCCTCAACCTTGCTCTTGGCATTGCCAAGTTTTGTTACTGTAATTTACTGGTTCGAGTGCCATCGTTGCCGCCAGAGGAAGCATCCATCAAAGTACTCGTGCATGGCAAAGGTAAAATTAAAAACATCCCTGATTGGCAAAGTTACTGCCAGTGGCCCCAACAACCCGTGTATTGAACATTTACAGTACCTACATTGACATTTCATGATTTATCTCCATGATATATGCCGCGGGGCGGGACGATGGAACTTGTATTGGTGCTGCCGCCCAGGGTTCTTTCTCAGCCTGTTTAAATTGTGCATGATTGTTCATGTCTTTTACTTGGCTGAACAGGAGGGTGACCATTCATTTTTTGTGCATCCAAGTACTGAATGTTGTTCATGTCTTACCATATCTTACCATCAATTATTGGATACAAATAAGGCTGACCTCCTATGCTATGCAATTCTTCGGCAGTGACCCTTGAGTGCACCTTGCTTGACAATTCGCAAGCATATATTATATATACACTCCACGTTGATGGATTTCACCGGACCAGTGAGCGCATGCCCTCGCGCGGTAGATTTTACTCGCGTGGGGTATTGATCTGGAAGCTGTTTCGAGGCACCAGCTTCAGGCTGCTAAAGGTTTATTGGAACTGAACAACCGCCGGAAAACATGGTCCATGTTCCCTAAAAGGCTGTTTGATGCAGTTTTGTTGCGTGGTTTGAAGCCAAGTGGACGAGCGCATGCCTCCGTTGTACTACACATAGTCTCTCCGTTCGAAGAGGCTTGCCAGAACCTGGACCCTCCAACCAACAACAATGTCTTCCCGTCAACTGAACTATACATTCTGCATTTGTGCTTGCCCCTATGTTTAAACCCTCAATGGTTGGATATCTTCAAGCGAATTCCAAATCACACCGCCCTCCAAACGGCTTCAAAATCTCTGTGTTTCAGTGTCACAAAGCGGTGAAAGAGACAACTCCATTGCTCCGTGTTGATGCAAACTGGCACATGTGTTGCACTAGTTGGACATGCTAAATACACCCTGGAAGACTAACATGGAACCTGACAACCCCTGGTTGGTAGAGGAATATAGTCTTCCTTACGGGGCCATTCTCCACTTCCATGTTAGTTCCAGGGAGTGTAACACTAAAAACAACTGACTATGCAGACTATGCAGACTATGCGTGTGCATGTAACATGCTGTTTGAATGTCCAAACATGCCCTTCACGTTCCAACAAGCAGTGGCTATGCCAATGGTCGTACGGTGGTATGTTCGGTCCACAACAAGTATCTATCGGATCGGTCCCTCTGAGCAAGAGCAAATTAAGCGGAGAAAAAAACGTGACCTATCCCTTGACGGTGACCTATCGGTCGATTCTTTTGTACTTCAATTCCCTTGATTTCGTGTTTAGACCCAGGAAGGGCGAAGTACTCAATTTGAAGTACTCAACTGATTGGGTGTATCCCAGAACATCCAGCACCTTGTGCTCAGAATCCCGACGCGATTGGAGGAACGGAAGAGAGGAAGAGATAGAAGAAAACGCCAAGCTAGACATTGACCAAGCTAGACGTTGACCACAGAAACGAGCAATGCAGACTCTTGATCAACAACATGCAACAAGCATGCATAAAGTCATGAAGATGAATAACTTACAGTCCAAATTCAGGTCTTTTTTCATCATAGAGTTTATATTGACAGACTTGACAACATAGAGCCTGAGACTTTTGCTGAGCTTAGGGTCGGTCCAGGTGGTCCACCTCCTAAGGAGCAGGACCAGGCAATTAAGACTGAGATTGATGGCCTGCGGTTTATGGTCGGCCACACCTGTTATGCTCCGGCCGGGAGCAAGGGAAGTTGGGAGAATCGGTGGTCAGCAGTTTCTGGTGGGTGTTTTATCCTGTTTTCACGAATTTCACGAAGATGACCCAGATATACCAAGATGTCTCACGTGTCGTTTTTTTTTTCTGTTCTGACGTCCCGAACGGTGCCAGGCACCTCAGATGGACCTTTTTTCAGTACCTGAAATGCTGGACGCCATCGATCCAGCCCTTTACGTCGTCTTATGTCGTATGACCACGGACCCCTTCGGGGTGGCTTGGGACAGATTCGGGGTGATTGGACTTGGGAGGCACTCCCAAAACCTTCCAAAACAACGCTTCGGTGCGAAACAGCGCCGACCATGTTGGGGAGACTGCCATTGATGTATATATACATGTATATAGGTAGATCAGCTGCCTTACTCTTACCTGTGCAGGAGAGTACATGTTTTTCCAGGTTTTCTTCTCAAAGTTTTGTGTAAATCCAACCCAGTATCCAACCCATGTTTGCGCCACCGACCATCTACAGTATATATCTTCGCTGCCGGCTGTGCCCTTACCTAACTTACCTCTCCGCAGAAGATGTCGATGTTCCTGGCACAGTCGACCCAACAAACGTTGGGCCACAGAAGTGCGTCGTGTGTGCAAAGCGAGGGCCTGTTGGCTGAGCTTCGTAGCGTCGTCGATGTTTTGTCGTCACAACCGTTTTTAGGGAGGGTCATGTCGAGGTCATGTGTGCAAGCAGCTGTTCTTTGGGATTGGGGACCGTGACAGGGCTGCCTTGGGGCAACCAATTTGACCACAGAGACCTCACTTTGGTGAAACCGAGTGACACACCTGCATCCATGATTGACGGCAGATAGATGAATAACAGTTATACAGTTAATATGGGAAAGCAAGTGGTAAGGCATATAGGGCCTTTAGGGAGGGTTTCGGTTACGACCGCACATTTTTCGTGAGGCATGAAGACAGAGAGAGATAGAGAGAGAGGGAGAGAGAGAGAGAGAGAGACAAAGAGCACTGGCTTAGATTTCAGGATGGTCCTTAAGATCGTTTCTTGGAAGATTATGCACCTGAATCGAATCACCAAGCCATCACATCCTCTTGTCACTTCATATGATCAGCCATTTGGGAGGTGATCAAACGATCATCGGCTGCGATCATCCCTCGCAGGTGGTGCACCACCTGCCGCATCGTGCGACCGCCCCGGGCATCGCATTGCTCAGACTGCGACAACTGCGTGATGAGATTTGATCCTTGCCTGAATGGGTAGACTGAGGGCTCCAGTCGTACCTGAGGAGGTGGGACGACCGGGTGGGTGCCAGGGTCCAGTCATACCGAACCGTTGCCACGGGTTGTTTTGCACTCTCATCCATGAGTTGGTGACACCAAAGCCGACTGCCATGGCCTTCTGGAGTGGACCGAAGACCACGCATGCGCGAACGTTTTTGTTTTCTGTGCGCGGTTCCGCGCGGTGCCATGGAGGGACAGGGTTTCGGGTTCCCAAGGTGAATTGGGTGGTACTCGTAGTGTGTTCTGTGATTGATCTCATAAACCCCCCACATTTGGACGAACGAAGACCTCTGAAGTAGGGGAGTTTTATGAAGAGTCTGCATGCTCCCCACTTCTTCGGAGGATCACCATTGTCCGTTCGTGAACAATTGTGCTTCTTGGCACGGCGGATTGTGGCGGTGCTCCAGGGATTGGGTGTCATGGGCCTGAAAAGGTGTCAATCCATGAGCACTGGTGAGCAAAGAACTGTTCCATTTGGACGTACCTGGGCTATACATGGCTATACCATGCTTTTCTTGTTTCTCCACGTACGAACATCACGCCCTCCTGCGCCTTTTGTGGCTGCTGAGTCACTGCCCTGTGTTGATATGCATATAAAATATAGACCAATATGTATCAATATGTATATATGTATATTATGAGGAGAAAGTTGTGTGAAGTCGCAGCGGAGTCTGAGATGTGACAGGTCCGAACGGTTGGGCGTCCGGCCCTGAACTGGGAGGATTCCAGGAACTAGGTGGGGGACATGCGTGCATGCCTAGGCTTCCAACTGAAGCCTTCTGATTTGCACCGATGTTTCCCTTATAGGGGAATCCATGAGCTGTTTGCGACCTGTTTGGTTTCCGAGACTGCTTAGGCTTTGTTTGCAGAACACCTTGGTCAGAAGAGTATGATACTGTTGACACTGGGAACCCACCAAGCTTGACAAGTGGCAAGATCATCAAGCGCATTGTTGGGAGCTCCTTTTCCGAGTGGCTCCTGTTGACCGGTGGCAAGATCACCAGCCATCACAAGCCCGCAAAAGGGCTCAATCATGCTCAATCCCTTCGGTTGATTTGTTTAGACGCGGGGTCGCTGCAAAGCAAGAAATGGGACCCTCCATGCTCCTCAAGATATCCAATCAGTCTTTGAAAAGGCTCTAAACGGAAGTGGATGTGAGTATACACTAACCAGCGGATCTCATTCTACATGCCCATTTGTATCCCTATCAGACCATATCGGACCGACCTATTGATATGGAATTTCCTCGGTACTACCACAACCATCGGCACTCGTGCTTGACCAAAACGGCACTAGTTCCGCCGCAGGTGGGCCAGCGGAACTACTTATTCTTTTTCGGCTTCACCAGCCGCTGGGTGTCCGAAGCGGGAGTTCGGCGAAAACATTTCGGGAGACCCTGTGGGGAGGTGAGGGCAGTCTGAGTAAACCCTGGGCATGAAAACCTCATTGAGTCGCTGAGTGTCTTTATGACCAACTGGGGCAAAATGAGGTCTTTGACCCGTATACGGGTATTGTGAGTCTTACTGTTAATTACTTTTACTCTTGAATTGGACGGCAATTCTTCAGCATCGTATGGTGCAATATTTTCTGCGGGGCCCCTCACCGAGAAGATGGTGATTTTGTGGATCTGGGTCACATCAACTCATTTCAGTCATTTTTAAAGTAGCATTGCCATTGCCACAAATTGAAGACAAGGTCGACCTGGAATCGACGCCAAGAGCCTGAGATTCTCCATTGGTCCCTTTTTCACAAGGACAGAAGTGGTGAGGTGGTTCCGAACTTATTGGATCTGGGTGTTTTCAAAAGGCCGTAGATGTTTGTCACATCAATCCCACCCACCTAACAGAAAATCACATTTACTCCGACCCGTTTGGCGACCCTTCGCTCCAAATTGGATGCCATGTCGCCGTGCACCCCCTCCCGTGTTGCCAAGGCTCAGTTTGTATGCTGGCCTTGGTGGTGATCCCCTCCCTCTTGTGGTTCTTGCTGGTGGGCACTGGCTTTGGCCTGGAGGCCGAGCGAAGGCACGGCGCCAGGCACGACGGCTGGCACGGCGGAAGCAGGGCTGGACACTCCTGCACCACCTGATCAAATTATTTTTTGGATAACACTGACACTATACTGCAGAGAACCCCAAAGAGATAGAAAAGTAGATGATCCACTAAAAAGAAGCCGTGCCACTATCTATATTTGGGGATCACTTACTATACTGTAAGTTTTGTTGGTTTCCACATATTATGCAGACTATGACTATCTCCTGTGAAGATGCACTGGACATTACAGGCGAGCAGCACTTCAGCACTTCAAATCCGTCTTCTTCGGCATACGGGTGTGTGTTTTTTTTGGGACCAGCAGAGGTTTGAAGCGTCAAATCCCAAGGCTTTCAGGGACCGCTCAGCCTGTGATTTTGGAGCGTTCCCTTTGGGTCACCGTGCTTTGCCGAGGGCGACGAAAAATGAAGACAGAGCCCACGACTGAGGCCCAGCAGAAATGCAAAAAGCCGAGGATTATGAGGCGTGGAATGGCATGCTGCAGTGTTCGCCGCTGCGGAGCACCAAACGGAAGCATGCCATCCCCAGAACAAAAAGGACTTGAAGTTGAGAACATATTGATGACCTATACAACTCCCCACTTGGTGGTCGATGTTCACATGGGGATTGTTCACATATGTATATATATATATACACACGGTCTTTCAACAAGGGGGGTGGGAGTTCGGGTAGAGTCGGACAGGAAAGGGTGGGCTACATGACAGGAAATGCAAGAAAAGAGGTCGGGAGCTCACCAGGCTAACCAGGTGTGTCTATCCAGTCAGAGGACAGAAGCGGTGAGATGTGCGCAAGCCGGAAATTATTTCGATAGAGATAGCGTTCGGACAACACAGAAGGACAAGTGCGGGTTTCAATTATCTCTGTGTCTTGACTTGATGTGGGATCTCCTCTTTGCTCCTTAAAGAGGATACCCCATATTGAGGGGGCTCACTAGATTGAAGACTGCAGGTAGAGGACAGGCGAGGGAATAGAATGCAGTCAGCGACCTTTGAGTTGCTTGGGGGTGCCCTTTTTTATTGTGAAAAGGGTTGTTGGCCGGATGAAAAAGGGCACCCCTCCGAGGTATACAAGTCGGATTGTACGGATCGAAGTCTATCCTATGACCGGCAATGGCGGATGGGAGTTGATCCAGGCGTTGTGTATATCGGCTTTGTCATACCGAGCCTCAATGCGAAGCTTTGCGTTTCTCAGCCTTCTGCTTTCCCGTGGAATAAGAGCAGGAGCAACTGCAAATTCAACTTCAATCTATGACAACAAGACCTTATTCATAAAGAAGGATAGGAACTATACTGCAAATGTTCGGTGCTTATAATATCACGTGATCTTGACACTACACGTTCATCGGTCCACTCTTATGAGCACTAACTTTCTGTTCCAGCGCAGGGAAGCGACGAGAGTCTCTGCACCACCAAAACAGCCGCTCAGCAGGACATTTCCAGGCTTCATCTTTACAACTACATGTTACATATTCATACAAGATACTGAGCTAAGCACACCAGGTTTGTCAGTCCAGGTGCAAGACAGGAGAGGCAGACAGAATACAGGCAAGCACCCCTCAGTTACTTAGGTGTCCTTTTTCCGCGTGAAAAACGGCCTTGAACCAACAGAAAAAGTGCACCCCCCCCCAGAACCTGTGAATGTCCGACCTGCTCAGTTCGACCTTTGTCCTAACGCATGGGCTCACTTCTAGGCTTTGTACATAAAGAGCCTATCATATCGACCCTCAATGCGAGACTTTGCGCCTCTTTGCCTTCTATTTCCCCGTGCCTAACAGCAGTAGAGGTCAGTGCAATGTCGACTTCACCCCATAACAAGAATGTTACGGAGGCTGGCTTTCGTCCCCTCCCTTCTCAGGTGTATGCACAGATGCGTTCATACATTCAAGGTGTAACTGAGAGCCCTTGCCGGTTTGCAACGCCGGCAGAGCTCATCAGTGACGTCTGGTTAGTTGTGCACTCATTCTGGTCATTGTTGGGCTTCCGTCATGGTGCCTCGCGCTGAGTGGGCTTTACCTCCAAGAAGACCCCAACTGAAACGAGGGAACCAACATACTCGGATGGCGCCGGCCGAAGTTGGTTGCCCAAAGGCTCCCCAAGTCCTGCCTGGAGAAACTGCCTCGCCACCAATGAACACCCATGGAAACTTCATCAAGAGTCTTTTGAAGAGTTGTGATCAACTGCGCTCCTTTCACCTCAACTGCTTCACCGCTGCCGCACCTGCAGGTGAACTCCGATGCTGTGCTGCGGGGATTCCTGATTACCTTGGCTGCGGCCGCAGGCCACTCGACACCAACCAGAACGCGGGTTTCCCCACGCGGGGGGAACCCCGCGCCGCGACACGGCATGCGGAGGCACTCCTCAGAACCTGGTCAATTCCGTAGAAGTATAGTTTACAACAAAAATATATATATATATATGGGATTTGAGTTCATGAGAGTATGGAATGGAACTATAGGGTTTAGATGGGTTTATGGACTGTGGTTTCATTGAGTTAATGAAACATGTTAAAACTAATGTTCTTTTCTCCTGGCCACATGAATGGCAAGGTGGGCGTGCATTTTCCCAGATCTCAGAACAACCTTGAACATTTCCAGAACTCCCAAGGATAGACTCATAAGAGTGATTTAATCCCGTCCTCCTAATAATAAACACGGGGCCCCCCCCCCCCTCCCCCCTATTAAAAAAAACTCGGTCGCATTTTTTCTAATAGGGGGTCCCTGAAATCGGGGGGCCCAAAATAGTGTCACTTGGAAAGAGTTTCAAAACCAAAAGTAATCCAGGAAAATTTTATATAGAATCCTTTATTAAACTCGTATCAAAAATGCAAAAAACCGCCAGATCGAAGGGTCTTCCTTTTCCCCTACCAAAACCTTCATTAGAATAGTGATTCTTCAGTAGACTAACAGCTAAAGCTTTCGAAAGGTGATGTCGCTGTGCCATGCGGTGTTGCATGACCTCGGTGGCAAGTGCGTTTGCGTGAGTCCGTGCCATTGAGGGAAGGAAAGCCTGCTGGTGGAAGCGCAGCGTGTCATGGTGGAGTTTTGGGGAACCTAATAAAAAAAAACTACCCCCAAAATCGACCATGTTGGTAGCTTAGTAGCGGTTTGAAAGGGCGGCAATTTAAAACCAAATATAAACCGAATTTAGGGGTTCGGACGTGGTGTTTTTTTAATTGGGGAGTGTTTATTAATAGGTACTCGGGATTATTCCTGGTGTTCGCATGCGGTTAAAACTGGATCCACAAGTGTTGGATATGCAGTATATTAACAAAACATTGTGTTTCTGACCCCTCGGCGGGTACCTGTCGACAAGAACCATGAAAAAAACAAAAGGCAACGTGATACCTTTTTAGGAAGTACGTGGTGCAAATGGATTTATATACACGCGGAAATCCTAACAAGGAAGTGGAAACCACCCTTGTTCTGGAGGTTCAAATTCGTCTTCCCATGGAGACTATTTTCCCAAAGACACTGGCACCTCGTGAGTTGGGTATGTTCACCTTTGACACCCTAGGCACTGGCGCTTTGTGTGTCATTGGCTGCCTGGAGAGTGCTTTATGTGCACGGAGTCGTCAAGACGACTAGTCGTGGTTTGGTGGTGTTTTCCTGCTGATATCGCTGGGGGAGCACTCGGGTTCGGTGCATGTGGGGAGCAGCGGCTGTTCCTTGGAAACCGTCTCGTTGGGCCCGGCCAAGACTGTCAGACAGCTTCACACTCCAAGTTGGCTGGTCACTCATGACACTAGCCGACCCCGTGCCATGACCTCAAAAAAGGCGCCAGCACCATCCCAAGAAGGCTGATTGGATGGTTATCCGTTTATTAACCACATGTTTCAACAGGTCTGTAAACCACCGTTTGGGTAGGGCTAGTATGCCACAGTTGCTGGAGTGTTTGGGTACAGAATCTGTCCCAACTTAATCCCCGAACGATTACCCGGATTGCTCATACTTCCGCAATGTGATTAGGGCGGGCGTGGCAGAATTGGAAGAGTGTAGATTGGAAGCGACTCACATGTGTTGACTCTTGTTTTCTCACGTGAGAGTCAGAAACATGTTGCACAGTACTGTAGGTTGGTCCATGTTTTGGAAGACTGGCATGCTGTCGCTGTCGCGTGGTCTAAGGCCTTTGGGGTTACCACCTCTTCTTGATTTGCTCAGGGATAACCACTCGAGTGCCTCGGGCTGCGCATCGGGAGCTGGAAGAAGCAGAAGGGTTGGGCGTCATGGCGTAGCCGCTGACGTTTTGGGTTGGGCGTCATGCTGCTGAGCTGCTGGAATGAACGATGTGAGGTTTTCACATGTTTTAACCATGAATGCTAGATGCTCAAATGCTCAACCGCACTGAGTCCGACATCCTCGCAACGAAATGCAGACATGTCACTCAGCTGCTGAAGTGACACGGACTAGATTATGATAATATATGGTTCTAGGCACCAACCGCAGCACCGACGCAAGACCGATATGACGTGTGTCCCGCATCGTTCGTTCCAGCATTGCGAGACTTAACGAGGTGTCCCGCAGCCCCTTCACTTGCAGGTCCGGAACGCCTTATATAAGTCCTCAGTCCTGCCATGTCCTGCCTGTGGGCTCAGGCTAAGGTTGTCATGTTGATTCTGATGAGGCCCGACCTGGTCCACCCGTTGGATCCAACCGCCATCCACCACCTACAGGATCGACACATGCCCGAAATCGGGCATGGTAACTGTGTCGATTTCGGGGCCTTTTTTGATCATCACTTGGCGGTGCATTTCAGGGAGATCCCCACCCAATGGGTTTTCGTGTTTCCGTCGACCTTCGATTCCTCCAAGTGGTTCCTCACTGGGAGGTCCCCTCAATTTAAACACCCAGGCTCGGCTCTCCGCAGCATGACGGACTAGGCGTCCATCAGTCCGGAGCAAGGCGAAGCCTTTCCCTGTGAAGCGAGAGTTTCAAGTTGGCCCCCCACAGAGGTGTTGTTCCCGGTAAGACCCTGGTTGCAGGTGTGTTCAATGGTACGAATGCAGCACCAGAGGGTGTTCGGACACGGTTTCCCTGCACTGTCCACCACCCGTTTCACCCCAGCCTTGGCAAAGGAGCACATCAAAGGGAAGCTGAGATGCATTAGAAGGGAGGATGGCATCAATCTTTGAGGAAAAATCCTCCAAAATCACAAGTCTCATACAACTCAGGTGCCCTGGAATATGGATGAACATCTCAGGAACCAGCTCAGTGGTTTCTGCTCACCTCATACCGGACCTGTCAACAGGCTTCAGTGACTGTTCGCTTCAGTGAAGGTCGATCCGATGTGACTGTTCGCTTCGGGTGACCTCTTCGTTCGGAACAGAACACATGAAGAACACGTGGAGGGCGAAGCCGTCGGACCACACGGATCCGATAAACGGAAGCACAACAGCCAGGGGTTTGAGAAGGAAGACCATTCTTCTCTACGAGCAGGTGGTTGCCCAAATCCGTGTTGATGTTTCGGAGAATCATTCGAAAAGGCCATGCGGCCACGCCGTTTTCATGTTCATGGATCAACTGTGCCACGCTACCAGGATGCGCACCAAGGAGGGACCGGGGGGTCTTAGCGGCAGCAAGGACGCTTGTGTGGTGTTTTTTTTTTCTGCAGGGAGAAAGAAAGGGTTACCCTAAGGTGTTGTGTGTTGAGCATTTTAGTGCATGTCTCTGGAGTACTTATGGCATTTGTTGGACTTGCATTTGGGTTTTGCTACTGCTCGCATCTCGTGATCATGTGCCTCAAAACCGCAGTGTCTGTCAAGTTCAAGGTTCAATTCTTTGCGACTCCTCGAGGGTGTTGTTGGTTTGCCCAAGACCTATAGCCCCTGCGCCTCCTTTGCGGCATGAAACGACCTCCGGTGCGAAGGGGCCTTTGTTTGGAAAGCGCAGCTCAGATGGGTGCTAGATATATAGCGTATGTATATATAGGTTCTATTGGATGCTGGTGTTTAATCATTGCTCTCCTCAATCAATGCCACGTTGTCTAACAAAGTGAACATGACTGAGATTGAATGAGGTTGATAGTAGTAGCCAAAGGCCTTATGTCATCCAATAGTGGAGCATTCCTGTTTCGCACACCCATTCCAATCGCACTTTTGCCTTGGGTGCTCACATAGCCCCCCATGGCCCCACCAACCCCATCCCACACACTGCGGCACACCCCTTTCCAGACCACGCCCAAGAAACCATCCATCTCCCCGGTCCGTCGCGTCCGGGTCTTCGCAGGAGTTGCTCCCAGGGCTCTCGGAGGAGTCCACGACCTGCAGTCGTCGGGGCCCCTCGCTGCTGAAGCTCCGGCAGTCGGTGCAGGTGCTCCGCAGTGGCCTCGGTAGCAGCAGGCGCGGCAGGGCACGGCAGGGTGAGGGGTGGAGAGGGGTGGAGTGCAGAGGGTCAGGTGAGAGATTAGGAGTGAGAAGCTGCAGGCCCTATCCCCCAACTGTTTCAAGGTTCTTGGACTGCATTCTTTATGTTTTTCTGTTGCTATTTTCAGACACACCCTACTTGTTGGAAGGTTTTGAAGAGGTGACACGGCAATGATTTGCAATGGGTCCGTGTCCGCAGCTGGGACTAACGTTCAAACAGATGGGTCCCTTTGGTGGTTTGATCCATCGCCATGTCCAGCAGCTCTTGGAATTTGAAGCAAGATGGGTATACAATTTGGGAACGGTGATCCATCGCCAACGTTTTTGTGATTTCGGACGTTGCCCAGGGTTTGGGATGGTTGAATGAATGCTCCACAAGATTTCGAGGTGAAGACATGCACAACATGTGAAACCACAGCGAGATACATCTGCGAAACGTTGGAACCTTCGGGATTGCAGCCGTTGGAACCTTAAGGATTGGCATCAACAATCCTCAATAAGGTTCCAACGGCTAAGAGTGTGAAATACCTTGAGCAGCTCGGCACGGTATGTTCTGTGAAAATGCCACCTGGGAAGCAAGCGGCCCTAAACGCGCTCATCATGTAATCATGTAATCCTATGCCCCAAATGATGAGATACACGTTGCACAAAATGATTTGACCGTATCAATCGCAAGCAGATGCACATGGATGCGCAAGAATATAGTTGGATGGGCTGTTCTGCGTGTTTGACGGCAGGAGTGCACCGTGAAAAGATATCAGATTTGGATAGATTTGGTCCATTAGGCCCCCGAAAAGAAAAGAGGTGAATGTACTGACATCTCCACTTTGGGCCGTTTGCACTGTCGGCACCTGCAAAAATTCCTCCAATATGAGACCCTTAGACCTTCGACCTTCGGTCGCAGGCGCTGGCGCCTCCCAGACACGGGCCGTGTGACGCTGCAGGTCTAGGCGTGAGCCAAACGGATCCGGTGGAGGAAAGATGGCTTAAAGTCATCGATTTCCTCCATGGCCCTCCCATGTTCAAGGTGCAGGAGGAAATCCTCGATGTTCATGTGCGAAACACGTCCTCGGTGTGATGTCTTTTCCTCCACCTGACAGGCTGGCGAAAAGGCCAGCAGCTCACCTGCCCGGCCCGGGCACATGTGCGACGCGAGTCTACGCCGTTCGCGCAATCCCATCTATTTTGCTCAGAAAAGAACAGGAAGAACGCGGTTTAGGTTTGGCCAGCTTTTGAATACCATGAAGTGCAAAGAAAGCCACGTCGAGAGCGTGTTTCCAGATCCAAGCCACACCCGGCCCCATGGGTTTTTCAGCACCTGACGGTGTCTCCAGCGGCCACTTCGCTGGCTTCTTTGAGACATCCCTAGGACTGCTCAGCTGTAGGTGGCCTGTGAGAGTGTGAGAGTCGCCCCCCCCCCAAAAATGGAGGTGCACAAATGTCCTCCAATGAAAGTGTACCACACACTAAAACACAATGCCCCACCATTTGGAGAGGTTTTTATCCATTTGTTTGCCCATCGGTCGATTTGGATTCCTAGATTCTCCCATTTCTGGGTGGAGGGAATCCCCTCGGGAATGGAGTCGCTACAGCCAGTCACGACAACAGATCCTGAGCACGTATTACTCGAAGATACTGGAAGAATATGGAAGGCTTTTTTCCAATAGCAACAATTCATGCCTGTCTTGGGTTTTCCCATGTCAGTCACACCTCCAGTCATACTCTTGCAGGCCTTCTGAGTGGAATTCGAAGGCTGTTTCTAGTCCATTCGACTTTGACTACTGGTTGAGCACACATGGAGTTTGACCTCCAGCTGTTATTGGACCATCACTCCATGTGTGGATTTTGGACCATCACCATCCATTTGGACCATCACCATTTTGCCGAATTTTGGAACGAACAACTGGATGAATGTTGCAGCGCCACTTCAGGGCATGCTGGCTTGAATGGTTTTCCAGCATGCTGCTGACCCTGTAAATCGCCGTTGATGCATGTAGCTAGGAGCAGTGCTAGGAGCATGCCGGTATACCGCCTAGCCTGGCATGGCATATCAATTACAGAGTATGCGACATACCACCTAGCACGATTAAAGACCATAGGAATCTCTACCCTGCCACCTGGGTAGACGTGCAACGGTCAGACGGAGCGGTCAGTTCTGGGCTCGTTCGAGGGAAACGTAAAGAGCAGAAGACAGATGTGTGGCAAGCGCGCATGATTTGTATAACATGCATTCATACAGCTGTGGGCATATAGGGTTGGGTAGATTTACATGTATTCCTCAAAACACGTTTGATCTTACGAGGTGCTTGATATTAAACATGACTAAACCCCGCACGAGAGAGACCTTGCTCACGATTAAAAAAAAGTGGGAAGTTGCAGGAGATGTTGAGCTTAGGTTTGGCTGTTTGCATTGCATCACTCCATAGAACTCCCGTATCCTCCTCCTAGGTCTATTGTAATTGCATTTTGTATGCTGGGCTACTCATTCATGACCGTCAGGCACAGCGCAGCACAACTCCAATGTCAGTAGCCTTTAGTGAGCTCCTCCTTTCAGTTATTTTCCTGCAGATATCATTGGCTCACTCTTTCCTCAGACCGCCCCTCCTGGTCTCAATAGCCGCCTTATCTTTGGCTCAACTAGTTTTGTGTTTCTTTTTGCTTGTGTTATACCCCGTTTATTTGCAATAGGATGTGTTCTTGAAGATTGTTGAAATTCAAGCAAAGGGCACATCAATCTAGCATGAACGGGGACAGAATAGATGCAAGAGCATTCATTGGCTTTGCCCTCACCTCGGCACCATAGAAGATGGAGGCACTAGTTTCAAGAAGCATTGAAGCCTTACGCAGGAATGGAGACTGTCAGCTCACCCAGCTGCTTCAAAGCAACGTGTGCTTTGGAATCTATATAGTTACTCAACACCATGAAGTGCATGAAGCACTGAACAATTACTTATCAAGACCCGTCAAACTGTTGTCAACAATTATAGATGTGAAATATGAAGAAACTTGAGAATAGAAATGGGTCCTAGAAGGGGGAGGTGATGCATACGATGCTGTTCACTGAGCAGTGAATAGAAAGCAATCCAACGACTGCACTGTTTGTGCTGTAAGAGGTTGGGCCACAAAACCCACAAAGCAAACACATGCAAACACCCAAAAGCGACAGAAAGATACACTTGTTTGTTCTGAGAGTAAGGTTGGTGGAAGTGAACCTTCGTTGGTTCACTTATAGTCTTACTGTTACTTGTATTGTGGGTTCTCCTTTTCTTTGGAATTTTCTGGTTGACAGCAAACCACCTTCAACGTACAACACGTTCACCAGCATTCTTTCAGAGCAGTTCTGTTTGTTTTTTGCCGATGGGAAACGGTAGACAAACAGATACTGTTTGGCACGTGCTTGGGGCACGTGTCTTCATTATGTTTTGTTTGTCGCGTGTTTGATGGTCACATCTAGAATCTTGAAAGATACTGTAAAACCACCAGGAGGTTTGGGACGCTTTTTGCATTGTCACCTGTAGTTTCTAGCAGGTGACGTGCAACCAATTGTTGTTAATGAAACAAAATCTTGGTGGCGCTAACTGGGCCACAGAAAGCAGCTCTAGGTACACCATGGGTGTGGATCCATATCATAAATTAACATTCATCATTTACATATATTTATATACAGTGCCTACCAACAGTCCCAATTTCAGCACAGAGACTGATCATGTAGCATGTAGTGGAATCTATAGAATCTATATATATATAGCCTATACCTTTCGCAAGTTGATGGTAAGGCGTGGAATTGGTGTTGAAACCTGTTTCTTTTTCCGACGGATTCAGCCTTTGCATGACGGAGATCAGCTGCGTGCTGCTACCGCGCAGGTTTGTTTCACAGGTGGACCAAGAAGACCGAATCAATTGTTTGCCAACTTCGCCAACGGCTGGAGGAGGCACCTGAGTACTCCATTTGAAGGTGAATGTGACCAACATGCACACATCTTGGGTGTTGTTGCAACAACTGGTAGCACGAGTTCACAAGAACCATTGCTTGATCAAGCACTGGTGGCAGGCCGTCCTAACCTTGTTCACGACTAGGAGAGCAACAGTCTCAACAAAACTGTCCTTCATAGAACCTTCTTTGACCTGGCCCATGAGGAAAGTGCAGCGTTTCTATGGGCAGATGTGGGGTGCTGCCCATATGGGACAAGTCTATGTAGGATCTTTGTTCCGGGCAGGTGGAGCATTCTTTGGCTGATTGTTTGTGTGTTTGTTGTTATGTTTGTTTATCGTGCCCTGGTCGTGAGACTCCCATGATTGACGAGTTCCAGGATCGCAACTTGATGGCTCTTCCCCCGGGTCCGGGTCCATCTCTTTTGCTTCGCGCGCCAAACCTCGCGGCCGAAGAACGGAGTCGACAAAGACCGTGGTGAGCAGCTGGTGACGAAGTTGAAGCATTGGATTGGAGCATGCCGGTGGATTTGCCCCTATTTGTTTCTTTTTGCAAAAGATCAAGAGGTGGAGATGTGTACGGTATGGCAGGCACATGTTTGTTGTGAGCTCTTTGGGGCGGATGGTGCTGGGAAAACAACGTGATGTGCGGTTTGTTTTTGGGGCAGGTTGATTCCCTTCACTTCCCACGGATCCGCGAGATTTGCATTGGTTTTGCACTGCATGACCCAGGAAGACAACTGCTTGTTGAGCAGTGGGGCAGTACTTGCCTGGATGATGCATTTGGAAGCATTATGACACAATGATCGAGCCCAAACTAAAGAGCAACGCATAGGCATAGAAGAGACCTGCTCGGTGTTGCTTGCAATAGGTCCAGGACATGTTTTGACATTCACCTGCCCGTGACCGTGATTTTCAGTGGTACCTCACCTCAGCCAGAACTCAGAACCCTTTTCATCCCCAGGACCGACCTGGCACGCTCGGCGTCCTCAAAAAGGTCCCGCGGTCGACGGCCGAAGCCAACACCGACCGCACCGCTCGCGCCGCAGTTCGAACCTTCGTCGTGGGTCGTGCGTCGTGCGGGTCGTGCGGGTGTGGAGCCCGGGAGGCGCGGCCGCCGGCCTTGAGGAATGGGACGGGGAAGGCGTGGGACCTGAGGGGGGCCTATAAACATCTAGAAACCACCCTTAGGGTGTTGGAACATCTTGTTTGCTTTGCAGCGATGTTTTCTCGTTGTGCGAGCTTGCTAAAGGATGAGGTAGCCAAGTGACACGGTGCAAGACGTGACCACAACTTGTTTCTCCACCAGTCACTGATCAGAGCAAAATGCTATGCTTTGTCCAATGGAGTCCTGCACGTCAAAGTTTTCTCAGAAACACCCGGGACCCGAGTCCTACAGCGAACTACTAGATAGTCACCGTGACACCAATGGAAACCAGTGTATTATTTAGGAAGTTGAGACACACACGCAGACGCATGGCCCATGTCATGTGATGCAATGTATGTCGTTTGTTGACCGTTGCTTGTGCATTATTGAACCTATCCTCATGACATGTTCCTGCGGCCTATGATTTTGTTTTTGTTGCCCCGAAAGTGAGTCAAAGCTGCCTCGAGAGAGGTGAATGTGGACTGTTTAAGTCATACCCTCGCCAGAACTCCGGGTTTGTCGGTCCAATTCCGCTAGTTATGTTGTGCCTGTGGTGTGTTTTTTTGTTGTTGCAAGGATTTGGTTTTCCCCCATTCTTGACTTGTGATGGTTTGTCGAGAAGGTATGACTATTTCACGGTTTGCTGTTGGTGGTAGACCTTGGTGTGACTGTTTGTTGGTGGTAGCTGCGTTGTACCATTTGGTCAGAAATCGGGTAGACCACGAGCTGGCGTTGAAGGAGCAACTTCAACTTTTGAGCCCGAAGATCTCACTTTTGGGACCAGAGGCTAGAGGGAAGTCACCATCACTATTGACACTGACAGGTTTCTATAATTTACTATATATATATATATTTATTGCGTTTTTCCTTGGTGCCCCGCCGGACATCTATACATACATTGTATAAACTATATATGTTAGGGCGCCCCCGGGGGAGTGTTCTGAGACCCATTGAACTTAAAGGTGCTTGTGTCTATATCAGCGCCACCCATGTGTAGAACGCGGACGAGGTAGGAACCCCCCAGGGGCTTCCTAATCAGCGAGCATGTCTATGGCAATGATGTCAAGGGACTGGGATGTTGGCCCGTGCAAAAACGTACATGCTGATCCTCTTGAGACTGGCCTCAAGCAACCTGTTTGGAAGAAGACACGCGTTGGAGTCAATTCGTTCACCTCACAGAGACGTCCAGGTTGGGGACCATATATATATATATATATATATGGTTGTCGATCTAAAGGTCCTAGTCAGCAGTGTGTATGACGATGACCCGGAACATATCAAAATCTCATTTGGCGAAAGTTTTTTCTCGAGTTGGCGAAAGTATTTTTTTTTTTGCGAAAGATCTGGCGAAAGATTAAATATGTACTTTTGTATGAATGTTCATTTGCTTTCTGAACAGCTGGTGGCAGTGACTCAGAAGCTAGATGAGCTGTGGAAGTTAGATAACCTGCTGCTGCTGCGGCTGCTACTACTACTACTACTACTACTACGACTACCACTACCACTATGACTACCACTACCACTACCACTACCACTACTACTACTACTTCTACTAGTAGTACTACTACTACTACTACTACTACTACTACTACTACTACTACTACTACTA